ATTCCCTCTTCCTCGTCCTCTTCCTCGCTCTCTAGCTCATCAAGCTCGTCTAGACCCCAAGCGGATTCCTCGTCGTCCTCCTTGCCGAGCTTCTCCTTACGCTCCTCAAGCAAGTTACGGAGAGCCTCGAGGTTCGAATCTTCCTCATTCAGTTGATTTCCATTCAGCTCAACTCGCTTCAGCGCGGGGAGGGAGGTTTTCGCCGCCTGGACGAATTCCTTCAGCCCCGCAGCGGTAATTTCGTTGTACGCCAAACGAAGAATCTCAACCTTCTTGTTCTCTCCTTTTGCAAGAGCTGTTGCGAAACACAATGCGCCTTTACCCTTAAGTAAGCAGTCACTTAAACTAATCTCGCGGATGTTGGGCCATCCGGGCACGACGCGTGCCAGAACCCGAGAACCAGTTATGGTGAAAGTGTTATCCTGCAAATCCAGCACTTCGAGCTCGGGAGCATGCTGCAGTCCATCACCTAACAGAAGAACTATTCCATCCTGTCGAATACCGTTCTGCGTCATCCGTATGCTGCGGAGTCCCTTCCCATGATCCTTTACCATCTTCGCCCACGCAGCCATGCTGCCGCTCTCAAGTCTGTTGCGACCGCACACTATCGTCTCTAGATATGGCACTTCCACCTTGGGGTTCGCTGCCCGAGCCGCCTCCTTTTTCACATGCAGCTCTCTCAGCGCATCGGCAATAAGATTTCCAGCCTTGGGACCAAGTCCGTTATTATTCAATATTAAATGGCGTAGCGGGGTGTGTGCCTTTAAAAACTCGACAAGAGGCGCCTGAGTGTTCAGTCCAAATGCATTATCACTTAAATCGATCGTCTGAAGCGTTTCGACCTCGCGTAGAGCTCGTAAAAGGAAGGACAGAGCCTGCGGTATCTCGTCGAGTAGTCGAGAGGTGAAGATATCGGCCAGGTTAGCTGTGTGTAGCTTCTTCTGGGTTCGGAGGACGTTGGCTAAGCGCTCGCTTGCGGGGACACCAAACGTATTTCCACCCAGACGGATCTCTGTAATAATATCGTTCGTCTCGACAAGAGGCTTAATGAATGGCTCTAGGTCAGCAGCAGAATCAAATCTCTTGCCCTTGCCCTCGATCGAGAAGAGAGAGGCAGAAGCCATGGTGGGGTTAATTGATCCTAGATGTTCTCAAAACGCAAGCTATTTCACCTCTTTCCAAAGCTGAAAAAAGAGAATATCCTTGAAAAGACGCAAGAGTAGAAGATAATTAGTGATAAACAGCACAGTAACCGGCGCTGTCTGTAAAGTCAACAAGTGTTCTGTCTCTACAACATGGAGGAGGAAAAAGGAGAAGAAGAAAAAAAAAGGAGGCTCCAAAACACTAAAATGACCCCACGAAGCTTTGGCGCGCCCGATAGATGACTAAGACGGAATGGTGTTATATTTATCCGTCATTACCAATCCGCGGCCCACCGGAGTTAAAGGATTTGATTATTCAGCAAGAAAATCGCCGGAGCTCGTCGACGCTTAAGAAGCATCAGCATCAGGAGACAATCAACTTCGCCAACAGTCAAACAGTCAATTCGCTCTATAGCACACTCATTACAGTCCTGTCACTCATTTTCAGCGCATAATGTCGGGTTTCTTTTCAGGATTGTGGGCCAGTAAGTATATACCTTCTACTCCTGCAATGCAAGTGCTAACTTGCACCACAGAGCCGGCTGTAGAGGAGAAGCCTGCTGCAAGCGTTGTCGCCCCAAGCGAGACTACGAAGCCAAAAGTACGCTGCGCTAGATGTCCAAAGCCTACTCTCCTCGGAATCTGATACTGATTGATGTTTGTTTTCACTAGCCATGTTGCGTGTGCAAAGAGGAAAAAGCCTCAAGAGATGATTGCATGCTCTTCTCCAAGTCCAACGACCCTGCCGCAGATGAATGCTTATCATACGTACAAAAATACAAGGACTGTATGGCTGGATTCGGATTCAAGGTCTAAGACAAGCTGATTGGAGGACGAAAATGAAATAATGAAAACGCCTTCACATCTACCTTGGATGTTGGTGCCTCGTGAATGGATTTTGCGAGTGACTGGATTGGCCGCAGTTGCTGCTATCCTATTATGGCTGGCAATCAATCTAGTTTCTGTATTTCTGCTGTATATTATGGGTTGGGAAAACGGCTATTAAACGGGGCGCATAATCTAAGGAGCCCTAGGTGTACTGTATAATTATCTCGATTAAATAGAATATCTCTATTCATCTACGCTCCTATCAACAAATTAGGCTCGGAGTAGAATGGGTAAAGTAAGAGGTAGATCTTACATGCTTTCCTTTTCTCTTTATGTAGAAGAGACCCAGAAGAAAGAATATTTTCGAATAGCTTTTGGCACACAAGCCGTATTTATGTCCACGTTTGCGTATATTGGGGAATAGTAGTTGCTTCTATGGTAGTTGAGACTGAGTGGTCTTTATAAGGCTTGCACTAATAGCCGCATAAAATGCTTCTAGAGAAAATAATATGGAAAAAACTCAGGGCAAAGTTACCTGAAGAGAGGCTGATGTATCCTAAGTTAGCATCGAGCCTAGGGGTATCAAGAAGGTAGCCAAGGAGGTGTTCTCTATGCTGTGTTCGATGGGTTTTGAGCCTTGGTTTAATGCCTTATCGACTGAGGGAGCAGACTAGCTGCTGGGAGCTTGCTGATCTTTGGATTTATCCTTGCTGTTTGTTGGTCCTTTCGTCATTTTTTGTTCCATAAACTCTTCAAGGGGTACTTTCTCAGAAACAGCACGGTTGCGTTTCGGATTCAAAGCTGGCTGATGTGGTTCAAAGATAACTGCTTGTATGAGTTTCCAGTTGCACCAAAGATAGATAACTCCAAAGCCGGATGCACCTATTAGTGCGTTCAGAACAACCCATAAGTCGGGTTTCGTAGGTGGCGGGGTGATGGTGCTTTCAAGGACGTGCCAAATAAGCATGGCTGCATAATAAGATACGTGAAGGAGCTTAGTTGTGGAAAATAACTCCAGAGAGTTTTCTGCTGCACCACGACTCCAATATAAATCGAGAGACATTGGTGGTAGGCCTAGTAGGTACGCCCATAGCAACGTGAGTACAGTATAGGGAATACGTAATTCGTCACGCTTTAGCAAGGGGAACATTGTCCATACACCGAGCATATTGGCCAAGCCAACCCAAGCACGTATTTCCTTGCTAAGCCCACCGGCACTCCCCAGGAGCAAAGTCATGGGAAGGAGCGGTAGTAGAACGCTTTTCTCATGGACTTGGAAGGAGCAGAGAAAGAAACCCCAGCCGGTGCTTGCCAATGCATAGGGGAGAAGATGGGTTCGAGGGTATCGTCCAATTATCAGGCAAGACGGTAGTATAGTGGCGAGGGTAGCACCCAGAGCGGCTAGCTTGAGTATGCTGGGGTCGAATTTATTGAGCTTGTAGAAAGTGTGGATAGCACACCAGACGTTGGCGACCTTGTCCTCAAACAACCCACGCGCAAAAGGGAATATACGGTGGATAGACTGAGTAAGCTGTACCATCACCTGATAAAGCCAGGATGCCTTGTTGATCTGTATCGGAAGCGATTTCATCAATGGAGGCAGGTCGGAAGGCCCTGGAATGTTGCGGTACAAGTCCGAGAGAGAACCAGCGAGGAGTGGAGTGAACATACAGCAAATGCAACGATGGTAATCAGTGCAATGCTGAGCAGCCTATTGGGCCGTATCCGAGGAGAGAAGCAAATGCCAAGAGATATGCAAACACAACTGGAGCAAAGTAGAGCGCCATTTGCTTAAATCCCAAGGCTGCGACGAAGAATATGCTAGCCCATAGAGGTCTACCAGCATACATGCTTTCAAGAGAGGCAACTATGAAGCCAAGCATCACGGTGTTGTATTGGAAATGGCCATGGTCGATAAGGATTGTAGATGGTTGCATAAGCACAGCGCAGAGAGCAATAGAGCCCGGCCATGGCCCAACGCCTTGCTCACGAGCATATCTCCGTAGGAAGATGACAACAGCTGGGATATATATCAGATATTCGGAAACAACAACTGTGGCTCGCATGTAAACCCTCAACAGTGGCCCTTCCAGACCTCGAGATTGATCCAAAGCAAACCATGCCGGATCCACAAGTTGACCTCTATATTTCGTTAGCTTCTTACATTGCTATGCAATGATATCGTGGCGGTACGTGGGACATACATCTTCCCTAACAGCCAGCTATGATAGGCTGTCAACGGGGGATAATCCAACCCCCAGTACTGTAGGTCGTAGAAATACCACCAAGAAGTGGGGAGGTGTATTGTAAGCTCCATCCAGTGCCTCTGCGCTTCAAAGTCGCCGTGCATTGGAGGTACACCATAGCCTGCACGGGGTTTATCAGTATGAATATCCGCCGAAGAATAAAGATGCATATAGAGACTACATACCCGAGTGACCCCACAGAGAAGTACCCCATCGAAAGAGGCCAACAATCATCAAGACGACTGGGAGAATAAGCCATTGAGATACACCAGACCGTGCAGGCCAAAAGAAAGAAACTAGGGGGAAAGCGGGTGCATAGATATCCTGGCCCTTGGACACTACCAGGTCGGTATTCAGCCCAGCGCCGGACAAAGTTCGACGTTTCTTTCGAGGCCTGTGAGATGCAGGTGTAGGAGGTGCCATTGTATCAGTAGCAAGCCCGGTCCATCAACTTAAACAGAAAAACAGTCACAGAGCAATCCCCAGTATACAGGTCAAACCATGGAGTTGCTGCTCTGCATAGCCTGTGATTGCTTGCTGCTGGCGATTCTCTATACAATCAACTTTGCCAACGTCGCGAACTTCCCAATTCGGACTTTTAGGAGGTGCAGCATGACTAAGCAAACAAAAAGCTAAGACTTTATACTAGTCTATTTTAGGACTAGCGACCGGGGAGCTAAGTAAAGGCGGTGAGGTTGAAATTTTAACCGGCAGAAAAAGCCCGGGCAGAAAAAAGAAAAAGCTTTTTTGATAAATAAATTCGAACTTTTTTGCTTCCAAACTTCAGAGAAATTTCAACTTCATCTATCTCACTCCATCACATTTTTCTTCTTCCATTTAAAAGACTTCCAGATTCCGAGTCGCGAGAAGGAGCGCTATACGTTCTGTATAGAACTCTTTACTGTAACTCGTTGCATTTCCCTGTGGGCTTCTGTGGGCTTGTCGCGTGAGATCATCTTACTAGAGGGCTTTACTGTTTGCTTGTCGGCTGAGGGCTTGGGATATTCTTGACATCTGTGGGATTTTGATTGCTAATATCTGCATTGACATAGACTGGATCATTCGAAAGAGTGACCGTCTCGCTGGCTTGTGGGTTATCTGTGACATTATCGATCTTTTGTGGGCTCCCTGTTCCTGTGGGCTTGTGAGAATCAGTTCCTTGTGGGCTCTGTTGCGTACATACTGAGGGTTACTCAATTACGTGGGATTTATCTCGTGTCCTTTTTGAAAATATCAAGTGGTGAGTCTTTGTGTTACCCAGGGTTGATTTCTAGTGTCATCTAACGCGCGTATAGGGAATCAAGCAAAATGAAGGCTCCAAAGGCTCAATCTGTTGCAAAGGAGGACAAGGTCCTCTCTAAGGTGAAGGACAATGGTGTGAAGAAGTCTAAGTTGAAGTCAAAGGTGGCTTCTGAGGCTCTCGCTAAGAAGGTCGAGAAGACCGAGAAATCGAAGAAGAAGAAGGCTCCCACTCCATCTGAAAGCTCCGAGTCTGAGAGCTCTGATAGCTCTGAGGAGAGTGAGGAGAGCGAGGAGGAGGCCGCTCCTGTTAAGAACGGTGCTGCCGCCGCTGCCACTTCGTCTGATTCATCTGACTCTGACGAGTCTGAGTCCGAGGAGGAGAAGCCTGTTAAGAATGGTGCCAAGGTCGCCAATGGCAAGAAGGATGCCAGCGAGAGCGAGAGCGATGAGGAAGATAGCGACGACTCTGACGACGATGAGGAGGAGGTAAAGAAGGCTCCTAAGGAGACCAAGGCTGTTGCTAAGAAGGACGAGGACTCTGAATCTGGGGACTCTGAAGACTCCGAGGAGTCTGACTCTGACGAGCCTGCTAAGGCAGAGAAGGTATGTCTACTATAAATTCCCTTTCTACCAGGGAAGTAAACTAACCAAGCTTTCTAGGCTGATGACAAGAAGGATGAGGACGACGAAGATTCTGATGACTCTGACGAATCTGACTCCAGCGAGGAGGATGAGGAGAAAGAAGACGAGAAGCCACAGAAGAAGCGCAAGGCCGAGGAAGACCCCGAGCCTGTTGCTAAGAAGGCCAAGGTTGACGTCCCCGAGGGTGCCTCTGCCAACCTCTTTGCCGGCAACTTGTCCTGGAACGTCGATGAGGAGTGGCTCCGTTCCGAGTTCGAGGAGTTTGGTGAGCTTGTTGGCACTCGCATCGTCACTGACCGCGAATCTGGCCGATCCAGAGGGTAAGCATATTAACCTCTTTGTCCAATGCAATGCATAGATCTGTGCTAATGATACTTTAACCAGATTCGGATATGTTGAATTCGCCAATGTTGAAGACGCCGTCAAGGCTCATGCCGCTAAGAAGGACGTCGAGCTCGACGGCCGCAAGCTGAACCTCGACTTCGCAAACGCCCGCGCCAACGGCAACGCCAACCCACGCGAGCGCGCCGACAACCGTGCCAAGTCCTTCGGCGACCAGACCAGCCCCGAGAGCGACACCCTGTTCATCGGCAACATCTCCTTCTCTGCTGACGAGAGCATGGTCCAGGAGCTCTTCTCCAAGTACGGATCCATCCAGGGCATCCGTCTGCCCACTGACCCCGAGTCCGGCCGCCCCAAGGGCTTCGGCTACGTCCAGTTCTCCTCCGTCGACGAGGCCCGCGCTGCCATGGAGGCCGAGCACGGTGCTGACCTTGGTGGCCGTTCCATCCGCCTTGACTACAGCACCCCCAAGCAGCCTGGCGCTGGTGGTGACCGTGGTGGCCGCGGCGGCTTCGGTGGTCGTGGCGGTCGTGGCGGCCGTGGTGGACGCGGTGGTTTCGGTGATCGCGGTGGCCGTGGTGGCTTCGGTGGTCGTGGAGGCCGTGGAGGCGCTGGATCCTCCTTTGCCGGCAAGAAGACTACTTTCTAGACCTGAATACCGTGATTCGACGACTTACTTTCATGCTTCTGTTACGACAAAAAAGGTAGAGAGCGTCTGTTGACTCTCCAGGTAATGTATAACATCCATCTTCAACCCAGAACAAAACCCAAAAAGTGCTTGTTTTCCGGAGTTTACCTGCTGTAATGCTTTTCCTACTGTTACTTTTCTGTTACTTTTCTGTTTCTTTTCTTTTGTAGAGTGCTGCCGCTGCCAGCTCGTCTTTTTATTTACCCTTAGGAAGTCGTAAAAAACAAAATGAATCAAAAAGAAAATTTTACCTTTTTTATCTTATCTCTAGATCTTATCTTATCTTTCTCTTCTCCAAGTGTTCTTATCGTCTGCTTAGTCATCTGGCGTGGGCTGATGCGGGGTAACTTCCACTCCTTCCACGCACTGTGATGCAGTAACTCAACGCACAGCCGCTCCAAGCCCTTAAGCCCACTGCCTTATGCACACGTCCTGCTGATATAATCTGCCACGCTCCCCCAGCGCCTTCACCGCCATCCCGCTTTCGTCATCTCTTTTCTTCTTCTTCTTCCGTTTATAACTTCCCAACGCTCTCTTTCGCTATATTATACATATTATATATATATGCCAGGCCGATATCCAGGAGATATCCAGGAGATACCCAGGAGTTGCGGGCCTTGTTCGAGTGACAGGCTGAATGAGCAGGACGAGCACGGTCGAGTGTCAAGTTCCTCGTAGTTGACGCAGATACCCTTTCCTCGTGCTACCGTCAGGTGAGAGGCCAGTTCAGTTGCCTTTTGTCGCAGGCTGTTTCTGACATACTTACGACAGGCGCCTTTCCTCTTGATCCCTTCGACCTTCTCGTTGGTGGTTTTAACGTGGTCAACGAGAGTCGCATGGAGCTGGCTTGTGCCGCTATTTGGAGTACATGTGTATGTTTTCCTGTCTCGAGGGAACTAGGCGTGAGGGGGTGGGAGGCTGCCTACAGTATGGGTGTCTTTTTTGCCGGCATATACTGATATCTTCCAGTTATCCTAGCGAATACCTGGTTTCGATCCTTTCTCCCGGCATCTCTCTACTGAGTGAGCATCGCCCGCAAGGTCCGGTTTGCCGCCCGCCCAGAACTCGCTTCTCGCTACCTAGAGTGGATATATATATAATCTCCTGTCGTGGAGGGAGACTTTGAGAGAGCATACATGCACTCTACACCGCCTACCACACCACCATGACTTTGACCAACTCATCACCAGAGCATGCCATGCGGCCTCAAGGAGCGCGAGAGGGTCATCCTCGTCGGTCAGAAGGTGAGTTCACGTCTCTATCTGGTCCTGATCGGCTTTTGGGGTAGCATAGACCGTTCTGGAAACAGGATTCAACTCCCATATCTGCCCAAAACCACTACAACATCTCCCAAGAGCCCTGCCGTCCCTGCATGAAACACCTCGTTTATGCATTGATTTATTGGATATCAAAACAAGCCTCAAAGCGTGTTACAATGTACTCATTCAGGTATTACATAGATTCTTGGATCGAACTATCCTCGCAGCCTTCGTCGTCTTCCTTGTCTTCGGCCGGCACGACCGACGATATCATCACAACGGGGCTGAGGGTCCAGCAGCTTCGAAGACGGCGATCGACGCATCCTCATCACCATCACCATCACCATAACAACAACCACCGTACTGGCGGCTATCATGTTTCACCACAGGACCTGGAGATCGGCTACTCACATCGTTCGTCGAGCACGACAGGAAGCAGTCAAGATGAGAACGAGGAGACCGAGAGCGAGTCAGACCGGCTGTCAAACGACGACTTCCCTACTCGGCTTCATCCAAACATGAACCTGCTACCAGACATGGCATCTCAGCTGGACGGGACACTTTCAACAGATGACGACGATGACGATGATGATGAAGACGATACCTCTACAGCGCTGGGATTCAACCCACAGCCCAACGCCTTCTCTCACCCACCAGCCTCGACAAGAACGGCACAGTCTCGGCACTCGTTCGATTCGGCAAGACTATCACAGAACCGACGGCACTCGCGGTCCAGCCTTCCCAGCCTGGGATCTCGACGGTCTTCGGTCCAGCACTCTCCCTTCAACATGATCTCACCATCCCATCAGGCGGACCACGACGCAGCTCTACGTGCAAGCCTGTCTACTCTGCTGTCTTGTGCAGCTGCAGCTCGCGGCCTACCGAAGCACGACAGCCAGCCGTCAGTGGCAGAACGATCGTCTCCGAGAGCAGAACCATCGTCCTTCCGTCTTCTCCCAGGGGCAACCGACACCGAAGACGAACCACCCACTGGACGCATGCACGTCCCTCCACCTCCTGCAGCAACACCATCACGATTCCAGCCATCAACATCTCCATCACCATCGCCCAAGCAGCGGTCACGCTCCCCTATCTCCACTGCTGCTGCTGCTGCTCATGGAAAAGCCCGACGAAGAGCCAGCCCGTCTAAGGACCGCACCTCGGCCACCACCAAAAAGACCGGACGACCCATGGCCGTATCATCACCATCATCATCAACACTGTCAGAGACTGCCAACTCCCGCAGCAGCTCCCTCAGTCCCACCGTGATGACGTGGGTCATCAGTGCAGGCGTGGTGGTGCTGTTCTCCGCAATCAGCTTCTCCGCCGGCTACGTGCTGGGCCGGGAAGTTGGCAGGATCGAGTCCGGCCAGACCTTGTATGGGAACGGACTGGGCGGCGCCAGCGAGCCTGCCACCAGCAGCTTTGCCACGCTCAAATCAGGAGCCGGCTGTGGCAGGGAAGCTGTCCAGGGAGGTCTGGGACGGTTCCGATGGACAGGAGGCAGCGTCTCCGCATGAACTTGACCCTTTTCTTTTTCTTGTTTTCTTCTTTCCAGCTTTCTTGCCCGGATGGACGGATGATTGATTGATGCATGCATGCGCCCATCGCCGGCATTAACTACGACAACGAGACTTTTTATATGAAAAGCCGGACGAGATCAGATCTAGTTTATATGAACGGGCACTCGCTGGGGAGACTGCAGACTGCGGCATTTTCACAGATTGGCGGCTGGGTTCGGAGTTCACTGGGACACATCGCATTGGGTGGTGTTCTCTTTTTCTCTTTCTCGTTTTCTTTCTTTATTCTGCTTTTCCTATGTTGATGTCGATGTCGATGTCGATGTCTTTTGTCAAGCGTCTTTTGATATCTATCTCTGCCCCTTTTTTGACTGTCTAAGCAAGCCCTTTGAATATCCAATTTGCCAGTAGCTTATTACTTCTTCTTCTCTTCTTCTTCTGAGTCCTACTCCAGCGACTAGGCAGTTTAATATATATCCCTTCTCTTCTCCCTCGTCCTGGTCCTCGTATATAATAACTGCTTCTCACCCCTGCGGCCCTTGGCAACGTCTTGCAGCCGAAGATCCGGCCTCTGCTTGCTTGTCTCTTTTTCACTTGCTGCGTCTTCTGCCCCTCGTCGTAACTTCTAACTTCTTCCCCCACCTTCGGGTTGTCATAAATTCTTCCTCTTCCTCTTCCTTTCCCCTTTTTCTCTTCCTTTTCTTCCTCTTCTTCTTCTACCAACTTCATCCTCATCACCAATTCAATTCATTAACAAACATCAATTCATCTTCATCCTCCTCGTCCAACTTAGACTACTAAACGGTACGACGCCAGAAGTCTCGAGGTCGCGAATACAGGGGACGGTCTTCGCCATGGAGCTCCCGTCCCAGTTCGCTATGGATTCATCCAAGAGTCAAGGTATTTGTGGTATATATCATCATATCAGTCACGAGTGACAGGTGTTCGGCCTGGCGTCTCTCGCTTTCGTCCCATCTTGATATCTATCGTCTTGATGGATGACTGCGAGAGACGCCGGCCGTTCTGAGATTATACTGTCTGAACTTGATCTAGATAATTCTAGCGAAAGGACACGCGCGGCTTCACTTCTCCCCTTCCTCTCTCTCTTCTTCTTCTCCCTCGCTACGAGGGTGCTGTGTGATGCTGACAGTGACCAGTCTGACCGGCCGTAAACCATCATGTCTACCGACAAGATCACCTTCCTCACCAACTGGTAGGTTCTAACGCTACAGCCACTGCATCTATCTTTTGTTTTTTATTGTCTTTTGTCTTATTGCCGTCTTGCATGTTCAATTGATGTATTATCTGCTTGCTTGATGCTGCTGCCGTGGTGTGTGCTGGAGAAATAACTGTTTGTGAAGGCATGCTACGCCCTACCACGCCCCCCTCTACCTCGCCCAGAAGAAGGGATACTTCCAGGACGAGGGCGTCAAGGTTGCCATTCTCGAGCCCAACGACCCCTCGGATGTCACCGAGATCATTGGAAGCCAGAAGGTCGACCTCGGCTTCAAGGCTATGATCCATACCCTTGCTGTCAGTTGCCCCCCTCCCCTTTTTATACTACATATATAAGTGTTGATATTGATTGATATACCACAGGCCAAAGCACGAAACTTCCCGGTCTTGTCCATTGGCTCTCTCCTCGATGAGCCATTCACCGGTGTCGTCTACCTCAAGGATAGCGGAATCACCACTGACTTCCGCTCTCTCAAGGGCAAGCGTATCGGCTACGTTGGAGAGTTCGGCAAGGTATGCACCCACACATCTCCTTCATGGTTAACTAGATCAATGCTAACGAAGCCATCTAGATCCAAATCGACGAGCTCACCAAGTACTATGGCATGACTGCCGAAGACTACACCGCCATCCGCTGCGGCATGAACGTCAGCAAGGCCATCATCCAAGGCGACATCGACGCCGGCATCGGTCTCGAGAACGTCCAGATGGTCGAGCTCGAGGAATGGCTCGTCAGCCAGAACCGCCCCCGCTCCGACGTCCAGATGCTCCGTATCGATGAGCTCGCTGAACTCGGCTGCTGCTGCTTCTGCTCCATCCTCTACATCGGCAACGAGAAGTTCATCTCCGAGAACCCCGAGAAGGTCAAGAAGTTCATGAAGGCCGTCAAGCGTGCTACCGACTACGTCTTGGAGAAGCCCGAGGCTGCCTTTGAGGAGTACATTGACATGAAGCCCATCATGAACACGGCTGTCAACCGTAAGATCTACGAGCGCTCGTACGCCTACTTCAGCAAGGACTTGAAGAACGTCGCTCGTGACTGGGAGAAGGTCACCAAGTACGGCAAGCGATTGGGTGTTTTGGACGAGTCGTTCAAGCCCAACTACACCAACGAGTTCTTGACCTGGGAGATGGAGCCTGAGTCTGCTGATCCCACCGGTGACCAGAAGAAGATGTGTGCTCTCCAGAAGAAGGTTGCTGAAGAGGGTGGATTCAAGAGAATCCAGGTCTCTGCTTAGATATCTCGTCAGAGATAATCAATCAGCCATGGGTATCATCCTTTTCATCCCAAGTCCTGTCTGTCTTTTTCTCGAGTTCGTAAAAGATAGCTAGCAGCCACTCATTTACCTGCTCGTGACAATGAAATCGTATGAAAAAGATACTCCCATAACCATAGCTTCCAGAAAGCAGTAGAATGCCTTGGAGTAAAGTGAAAATATAAAACAGAAAAGCATTGTAGAATACAGTATTTTCTAAGTTAGTGTACAAAAGTGTCAATGGCTCCTTTGCCCCCATAATCGCAATGGTATACCAATATCGAGCCGTCCACATACCACTCACGATGCAACGCTTAACATGCACATGCCACCTACAATCCACGCAAGAAGTTAGACTCCTTAATTGCCTTTCTTCTCGCATTACGGGCAGACTTGGTGATTTCGCTCCGAGTAGCCAGTCCAGCAGTGGCTACCTCAATGTGATCAGCAGGCGCTTCTCCCGTGGCGGTAGCAGCATTGTACTCGGCGGGCGTGATGTCGGTAGCCTGTTCGTGTACGGGGATGGTACGCGGCAGCGAAGCAGCTAGCGCAGCCATCTTCTTCTCATGCTTCCTACGAGCCTTCTTGTTCATTGCTACAGGTAAAAAAAGCGTCAGTTCAAACACTCCTAATCAAACGGGGTTATACCATGCGTAGGTATACGTAATACATACTCGAGACATCAACCGAGCCAGCTCCAGCCTCTGATTTTTTCGCACTCTTGTCCAGCAACGTCCACAGCCAGTCTGGATATTCATGGTCTTCCAGCGCAATTGGATCCTGCTTGTTCTTCTCGTAGTTCAAGCCAGCTAGCTTCGTGCCTGCGGGAACACTGCTGACTACTTTTGCAGTCTTGGGAGCGGCTTTCGGTACAGCTTGGTCGGCTGCTGCTGGTGGTGCGGTTGGTGCTGGTTCTGGTGCTGCGGCGCTGTAGAATCGTTGCGCTTGTCGTGATGGGACATGTGAGTATGAGTATGCGGCTGATACGGGTCGGGCGGAAGGTATGCGAGAGAGAAGAGACGAGCGGCACTGTCGACAGATCATTTTGGCGGATTTGGCGCCCCGGCAATTGAGGTGATGGTGATGGGTGGTTGAATTACAGGAATTCTTTGCTCTTGATCTTCTCGCTGTTGCTGTTGAAAGAATCGAGAAAAATGTTGCCAAGAATTAGTCACGTGATGCATCCATGGCCCTGGGCTAAAAGTAGAGCAAGTTGAAGCAAACACAGGAGGGAACATGGATGAATATGATGGACTAGAGGTTTCATTCTATATCTATTTACATGGTAGCTAACTAAGTATTACTTCTCACCCATAGTTATAAAGTAAGCCAAAAAAACCGACGGTCGAACTCTAGGTAACTATAACGATTGTTAAGTTAAAAAAGGCAGAGGTTTAAAGAACAAGAGCAAAGATGTTTTCATGAAGAAGGCCCATCTTTCTTGTGGCTTTTGTCCGGATAATCCATGAAGCTCATCACATGTTGCGGTGTTTCCAGTTCGTGGCATTGCTGGTGTTGCTGGGCAGGAGAATCATGCAAGTTTGGCCGCAGTATGACACCCTCGGGCGTTGTTACTGTCAATTGGACCCCCTGAGAAACACGCTGTGACGGCGGTGAAAGTGAAGATGGATGAGGGGAGGATGTGGCGCTGGGAGAGTCGTCTAGCCTTTTTGGATCTGGTACCCGTGGTGAATTGGCACTGGTCGGGAGCTCTGAAATGGTAGTTATAGAGCCCCCTGGATTTACGGCGGAATAAGAGCCAAGGCCTCGCGATGGAGCTGGGACGGCGCTCTGCATGACTATCTTTTCATTCGACCAGACGATGCTCTGAGTGCTTGGGCTGATGGTCGTCGCAGAGCCGATGGAAGGTGAATCGGCATATTTTCTTGGACTTCCGGCGAAGGTAGAGCCCTCCAAAGGCGTAAACATCTCTGCCCGATATTTACTCCCTAAAGGTGTGTTTTAGAATATGGCTATTCAAGCAGTGTGAGCATACTCAGTTTAGGGACCTACCGTCAAGTTCACCACAGGGTTCAGGTTCCGGAGCCTTCTCGACGGTAGGACTGACAACGCTTTCCGCGGTCTCCTTCTTGTGTCGACACAGCAGCATTGCGCAGCTCCCTTCCCATTTTCCAGCCTTCTTTCCCTTGCGCCGGATGTGGAACCAGAAGAATGCGCAACAGCAAAGGAACAGCGCAATAACTACGGTCCCGACAATACCACCGATGAAGGCACCTCGACTGGGACCCGAGTGCACGATTGTCGGTACTGATGTAGCTGTCGACACTGTTTCAGTGGCCGGTATAAGCGGAGAACTGCTGGTTGGTGTTGGCGACGCCGATGTGGATGTCGTGGACGTCGTTGACTTCGGGGATATTATAGTAGATGTAGTAATAGTCCTTGAAGAAGTCGTTCTCGTCGCTATAGTGGTGGTAGTGCTGGACGAGGTAGTCCGAGAAGAAGTCGAAGTTGATTCTTCCGGCGTCCGCGCGCTGCTGGTCGTAGACGACGATGACTTCGTCACCTCATCACCATCATTATCCGGGCATATACCAGTATTGCAAGGGTCTACCGAACAGCATCCTCGATAGGAACCTTTCGAGCATGCATAGAACTGCTTCCCCCTTACGCAATCTGTCTCGTGCCGGCGAAACCGAAAGCTCCTATCCATCATATTCTCGCCAGATCCAGCCTGTCCTTTCGTCTGAGTACGGTCGACCAAGGTGTAAAGTTGGTGTTATTCGGAACCAGGGCCCTTTTCTCTCCCGTGCACATTGAGGGATAATAACACTGGAGGAGATATTATTATCTCAGGATCTTCAGCCTTGTAATTTCGGCTCCAGGGCTGAAAACAATAACAGCAAAAAGAACAAAAAGTAACCAGGAGTTGAGCTTCGACTTTCTCTTACGTCTAGTCTATTTTCTTGATCAAAGAGAACAGCTCCTCACGGGGGAGCACACCACGAGAATAAAGAAAGGGGAAAAACTCCGGCTGGGCGCAAACGGCACCGCCCCCTGGCAACGCCCGCATCTGGGTATCCATCGCAACAGTTAACTTGGCCATCTTATTACAGCGGAGCATTGCATGTTGCTTGTGCTGCACGAACAGCCGGGTTTTCGGGCGTTGGCGAAAGTCGCAAACAAAAAGGAAAGGGGGTGAAACGGGCCAATCAGCGTTGGCCTGCGGCTGTTGGACATTAGGTAAGCGGTGTTCATCCTATCAGGGTCACGAGTTTAGCGCGCTTTTCTATAAATGCGCTGTCGGGATACCAATTTGTCTGAGATTCAATATAATATTAACCTCAAAGTTGTAACCCATGTACCATTTGGTTATTAGCGAGTGGGATTGCTGGCTATATACCCCGGGTCTAGAATGGCACAACCCAACTTGCTCGTAACGGTATCTGGTTACCCTTGTAAGGTGGCGAACATGTAACGATGAGGCAGCAGCATTTCAAAGTCTGACTTCTTCTACTGGCACACCTACGCACAACTTCTAACTATACATCTTATGACGAGACCGACAACAGAACGGAGTGATGGGCTCAGCTTTCTCTTCGACTCGAGAGCAGGAGACTCTTGAGTACAGACCACCACCCACACCCCCAGAGTACGATAACCCACCGCCGTCCCTTGATTGGATGCGCTCGCCCGATGGATACAAGAAACGCACAACTTGCTACTCACGAAATGGCTACGTTATCTACGGCTATCCGTCTAGAGGACCCAAAGGCGAAGCAATAAAAGATTCCATAATAGCAAAGACAGGAGTAGATATTGTCGACCTCAAATTCCTTGGATTTGATATATTCGCACCGCCAAAGGAACGCTTACCGAGCCAAGAGGCAGAAGACCGGTTCTGTGGTCTGCTCCGGAAATTGGGGGGAAGGCATTGGCGAAGCTACCACGCCCTATTTAACGGCACTGTAGATGAAATGACCGCAGAACGTGATGATGGGATTAAGTGGTATTTTGCATGGCCAGGAATCGATGAACATCCAAACGCAAGAAATCTCGAGTATACCGTTAGCAAAGATGTGGCGGAGGGCGGTGGTATGGTGGAGGAGGGTGGTGTTTGGGCTTTAGAGAATATACCTTGGAACCATATTGAGTTTGGGAAGCTTAGGATGTGTCTTACGATGGAAGAGAAGGTCCAGGTGATGAAGGAGTTGGGTGCAGTCTTCTATCCGGACCCGAGAGACTGTCCACCACTTGCAGACCTCTATTCTGCGCGCAATGTGTCTCCCAAGGCGCCTATTGAACAGACTACCTAGGTATATAAATAGTTAGCTGATTGATGGCTCCCTCAGTACATGTCGATTCTATCCATTTTCGTAGGGTTGGTAGTAGAAGACGGCAGATGCATGGCAGGTTTTGCTTTTTCTTGCGCTTGAGAGGGTTATTATGAGGCTGGAAGGTGAGGTGGCCCCTGTTGATTGGTAGGGAGTACATAGAAGGCTGCAGGTGCATTAAGTTGTTGGTGTTGTTGTGTATACGTGTGCGTTGTGTGGTATATACTTAGACCCGTATACGCTAAGGGTTGATATAGATCAGACATTATATGTTGGCGTTGCACAAGAGCAAACAAATAACAAACCAGACAATTCAGCTTTTTGATTCTATTACCTATGCTGAGACCTTTTTTCATCATGTACTATTGATTATCAAAAAAAGTAACATACCAGGCCAGGATGCATCTCGAGACCACTCCGGTCAAAGCGCATTGTTGTCCTGTCTGTGTCTCCCTTATCTTGACAGAGCGATGTCATCAATTCGTAAAATGAGCTTGACGGTTTCGGCTGCAAGCTCGACTGCGCTTGTGCTGACCAACAAGGGCTGCAAGACACGCTCGTCGGCGATGTTGACCTTGACTCCACCGCTTCGAATGCTGACACCCGCATTCTTCTCTCCCATCTCATGACGATGACGTAGATCTGTGACGACCTTGATGCTGTTCAACCCTGCGTTCTCGGCAAGGGTGACGGGAATGACTTCCATAGCGCTGGCGAAGGCTTTCCAACAGATGGCTTCAGTGCCAGCAAGCAGACGGGCCTGCTTGGCTAGTGCCTGTGCGATTTCAATCTCGGGGGCTCCTCCACCGGCAATCAGAGCACGCTTCTTTACCAGGCATCTCACTACGCAGAGAGCATCGTGGAGAGAGCGCTCCACCTCGTCGAGGATCAGGTTGTTGGCTCCTCGGGCAACAATGGAGACAGTCTGAGCGGCGGTTGGAGTGCGGATGCCGGTGATCTTGAGATATCTGGATCCAGACGAGCTGATTTCCTCTACGAGGTCGGCATTTCCAAGCTTGTCTTCGGTGAAAGAGTCAATGTTGGCGATAGGTTTGCAGCCCAAGCTCTTGCACACAAACTCCACTTCATCACGTTCAATATCCTTGACGGCAAGAATCTTAACTCGAGAAAGGAAGTTGAGGGAGAGGTCGTTAACAGCGTCACGGAGAATCGACTTTTGGATAAGGATGACATTGCACTTTGTCTTGGCGATCTTTCGGATCATGTTAAGCAGATATGTGCGCTCTTCCTTGAGAATCTTATCCATCTGTCTGTAGTCATTGACAACGATTTGATTCTCCATCTATAGTTATTAATTTTGTCAGCACCGTCAATTTTCGCAATAGGGTATGGATGTACGAACATCTGGCTTAGGAGGGCTCAGTTGGAACTGAATCAAAGCAATCTTCGCCTTTTCGACTCTGGTTGGGCCGCCTGCGCTCTTCATTACAGGCTGGTTCAGGATCAAACCGTCAACCATTTCACTGTCTTCGATGGTACCGCCAACCTTCTTCACTATCCTAATGTTGCGCAGATCCACGTTTTCAGCAGTCTTCGGGTCAATGACGCGGAGAACCGAGTCTACAGCCATCGGGGAAAGCAGGCTGGAGTATTGAGAGACGATCTTGGAGGACAAAGAGGTCGAAGCAGCTTGTAGGAGAATAGCCCTGTCTGATAAGGAGATTGGCTGTGACATGTCTTCAAGGATCTTGACTGCGGCAGCGGCAGCGCGCTGGAAGGACTCGGAGATAACAGTTGGATGTAAACCTATGTTCAAGAGTTAGAATATATATATTCTGAAGGGGGTGGTCCGCCATATCGTACCCTTGGAAAGTAGTCTCTCCGCTGCCCCTAGAAGACTTCCAGCAATGACGACAACCGATGTAGTACCATCACCGGCCTCAACATCTTGTGCAGCACTCAAATCTACCAGCATCTTAGCGGCAGGATGCATAACAGCCATATCCTTCAACATGGTATTTCCATCGTTCGTCTGTGACCAGGGGGAATCAGTATGAGGGGTGTCGGCCAATTTGGTATCATAAAACATAAACGTACGATTATCGTCTCGCCCTTTCCAGTTTGTATCTATAGAAACAGTCTGTCAGTTAACTGAGCAACAGGAGTATCATGATTGCCCAACGTACCATCTTATCCATACCCCTTGGCCCAAGCGACTTTTTTCTCTATATGTTAGCCCCGCGTTACATCATGCTCCAGGACGAAGCTATCATACCGTTCTTATGGCGTCCGCAACCGCTACAGTGAGGTCAGTAAATGTGTATTTAACCAGACAATTAGAGCAATTCTTACCTCTGGCTGCCATGATGTTCGCAGAGCGAACCGCCATGGGCTTTTCCTTATCCTAGTCCAAACAATCAGTATAAGGCACCCAGACAAACGATCAAGGCGAAACTGCCTACTCTAAAAGTAGTATGCATATTGCCCTGGATCCCTAGAGCGGCCGCCATCCTGAATTCTGTAGATTCGCACTGCTGAGAGGTTTTCGCGGCTGTTGCGTGGTTGAAGTAAAATAAATTATTTATGTATTCACACTTGTGGAGGTGGAATTTGTGAGCTTCCCATGGAAAATCGAAAGCGTGAGAGAAAAGGACGGCGTTGGCTTGGCGCGGCGACCTTCTAGGCTAAAAGCAGAGAACAGCTTCATCTCGACATCTCGACAGACACCAGCAGCTCTCGTGAACACATCAACAAGCCTGCGCCACGCCTCACCTTGGACCGGCAGAAGCTTTGACCTGAGGTATCAACTACGAACGTCGTTTGAAGCCTGCGTTTACCTTCCGTCTCTGCTTACCATCTGTTTCCTGAGCCGACTTGACAGTTACAAATCGTCAATATGCCCAGCGCCACGGGCCAGAACTGGGAGAAGTACAAGAAGAACTTTGCCGATGATGAAGAACCCGAAAAGAAGATAACGCCGTTGACAGATGAGTGAGTTACCTGGCTCTTGCCAAAGCTATATGGTTGAAGGAATACACCGCTGACTTCCGTTGAAGGGATATCCATGTGTTGAAGACCTACGGTGCTGCCCCATACGCCGCTGCGATAAAGAAGCTCGAAAAACAGATCAAGGACAAGCAAGCGAGTGTAAATGAGAAGATAGGAGTCAAAGTAAGTTGTCTTCATGCCTGCCGGTTTGGGGTTTGATTTAAGGTGATTTGTTGCTTACACCTTGAGTAGGAATCCGACACTGGTCTGGCGCCGCCACATCTTTGGGATATTGCTGCCGATAGACAGCGGATGGCCGAAGAGCAACCGCTACAGGTTGCCCGGTGTACGAAGATCATTCAAGATGAAAAGGACTCCGAGAAGAGCAAATATGTCATCAACGTGAAGCAGATCGCCAAGTTTGTTGTAAACCTGGGCGAGCGAGTCAGTCCCACAGATATTGAAGAAGGAATGCGAGTAGGGTAAGTTGGGGCTATTGCTATGTGTGCATCGGTCCATCTGAAGTACTGACGATTCTTTTCTTCTAAAGCGTCGACCGGAATAAATACCAGATTCTCCTACCGCTACCTCCGAAGATTGACCCTAGCGTTACGATGATGACAGTTGAAGATAAGCCTGATGTTACATACGGTGATGTTGGAGGAAGCAAAGAACAGATTGAAAAGCTCAGAGAAGTTGTAGAAATGCCACTTCTATCACCTGAGCGATTTGTTGGCCTTGGAATAGATCCACCAAAGGGTGCCTTGCTCTACGGCCCTCCCGGGACTGGAAAGACACTTTGCGCGCGAGCGGTAGCAAACCGAACAGACGCAACATTTATCCGTGTTATTGGCAGTGAGCTTGTTCAAAAATACGTTGGAGAGGGTGCGAGAATGGTGAGAGAGCTCTTCGAGATGGCCCGGACCAAAAAAGCGTGTATCATCTTCTTCGACGAAATTGATGCTATCGGTGGTGCGCGTTTCGACGACGGTGCTGGCGGTGATAACGAAGTCCAGAGAACTATGTTGGAACTGATCACGCAGTTGGATGGTTTCGATTCTAGAGGAAATATCAAGGTCATGTTCGCAACCAACCGACCGTCTACTCTTGACCCTGCCCTCATGAGACCCGGCCGTATCGACCGAAAGATCGAATTCTCCCTGCCCGATCTAGACGGCCGTGCTAACATCTTACGAATCCACGCCAAGAGCATGTCGGTCGAGCGCGATATAAGATGGGAACTCATCTCCCGACTATGTCCTAACTCAACTGGTGCTGAACTGCGAAGTGTTGCTACCGAAGCCGGCATGTTCGCCATTAGAGCCCGTCGCAAGGTTGCAACCGAGAAAGACTTCTTAGCTGCCGTGGATAAAGTCATCAAGAGCAACCTGAAGTTCAACTCCACGGCCACATACATGCAATACAACTAGCCTACTTCACCATCCCTTCTGCTCTCCATCTATCTATCCTCTTTGAACTTCCGGTGCGGGTGTGGGGTTTGGGGCGTGGAACCTAGGATCCAAACGGTGCATCCGCATCGCTATGTTATACTACCTTTCTTCATTTAAATAGAAGCACTCCAGCGTTTCTCCTCCCCTTGATCAATGCCGTTTCCTTAACCTCACCAAGTAAATAATTGATACTGATACCGATTATGTAATCAAAATTTGGGTGTATATTGTCACGTGCCAGCATCGGGCTAAATCGGGTAAGCTGACCGATAGACGAGCTACGATTGGCTGATCAAAGCCTCGGGATGCAAATGCTTAGATAATCTTTCGTTTTGCAGGCCCAACTTCGCACCTCGAAGGGAAAGACGAAACTCCCAAGGAGCGTCAACGGCCTCTCTAAGCAGCATCTCATAACCTGCCAACGCACCAATTCACCCATTGCAGTCTTTGCACATAGCTCTGCTGGCTGGAGTAGTATCATGAGCTTCAGTGGTCTACGGAGCATTGCTCCAACTCGTCAGGTAAGGCTCGTTTTTCCGGATTGTTGATCTTGTACCCGGTTCTTACTGACCTTAATCCGCAGTTGACTCGGGCACTACGGGACCAGAGGAGGTACTTTTCGCAGACTCGCACTGCAGGTATGTGGCATCTCCTACCTGTAGCGGGACTTTTGTCAGGAATTGACCGTTTTTGCAGCTCGAATCGTCGCAAGCCAACCTCTGCGCGCAAAGGAAGCCTCTCCCTTCGTCTCACAAAAGTACCCCGTTATTGTACGTCTATGGTCATCACACTCTCTAGGATACGCCCGCCTGACTATTATAGGACCATGAATTCGATGCTGTTGTCGTTGGTGCTGGTGGTGCCGGTCTGAGAGCAGCCTTCGGCCTTGCGGAGGCTGGTTTCAACACCGCGTGTGTTACAAAACTTTTCCCCACGAGAAGTCACACTGTTGCTGCACAGGGAGGTATCAATGCAGCTCTTGGAAAGTATGTTTTTCTTGTTGTAACTTTTGGATGTTGCGGTAGTGTTAATGATCTTCTAGCATGCACAAGGACGACTGGAGATGGCACATGTACGATACCGTTAAGGGTTCCGACTGGCTTGGTGACCAAGATGCTATCCATTACATGACAAGAGAAGCTCCCCAGAGTGTTATCGAACTTGAGGGTTACGGATGCCCATTCTCGCGAACTGAGGATGGACGTATCTACCAGCGTGCTTTCGGTGGACAGTCGCAAGACTATGGAAAGGGAGGTCAGGCTTACCGATGCTGTGCAGCTGCTGACAGAACCGGCCACGCTCTCCTCCACACCCTCTACGGCCAATCCCTCCGCCACAACGCAAATTACTTCATTGAGTACTTCGCTATGGATCTCTTGATGGAGGATGGTGAATGTAAGGGCATTATCGCCTACAACCAGGAGGACGGTACGCTTCACAGATTCCGCGCTCACCACACCGTCCTTGCTACCGGTGGATACGGCCGTGCCTACTTCAGCTGCACCTCTGCCCACACTTGCACTGGTGACGGTATGGCCATGGTTGCTCGTGCCGGTCTCCCTAACCAGGATCTGGAATTCGTTCAGTTCCACCCTACCGGTATCTACGGTGCTGGTTGTCTGATCACTGAGGGTTCCCGTGGTGAAGGTGGTTACCTTCTCAACTCCAACGGTGAACGATTCATGGAGAAGTATGCTCCAACCGCTAAGGATTTGGCCTCTCGTGACGTTGTCTCCCGATCCATGACCATGGAAATCCGCGAGGGCCGTGGTGTCGGTCCTGACAAGGACCACATCTACCTTCAGCTGAGCCATCTTCCCGCCGAAATCCTCCACGAGCGACTCCCCGGTATCTCTGAGACTGCTTCTATCTTCGCCGGTGTTGATGTTACCAAGCAGCCAATTCCCGTCCTCCCAACTGTTCACTACAACATGGGTGGTATCCCAACTAAGTACACTGGTGAAGTCCTCACTCTCGACGAGAATGGCAACGACAAGGTTGTTCCCGGTCTGTACGCCTGCGGTGAAGCTGCCTGTGTCTCCGTCCACGGTGCCAACCGTCTTGGAGCCAACTCCCTTCTTGACCTTATCGTCTTCGGTCGTGCTGTCTCTCACACCGTCAGGGACAATGCCTCCCCCGGTGCCCCACACAAGGAAATCAGCGCTGATGCCGGTGCTGAGTCTATTGCTTCTTTGGACAAGATCAGAACTTCCAACGGATCTAAGTCTACCTTCGAGATTAGAAATGCTATGCAGAAGACTATGCAGACTGATGTCAGCGTTTTCCGAACTCAGGAGAGTTTGGATGAGGGTGTTGCCAAGATTACCGAAGTTGACAAGACCTTTGACGATGTTAACATCAAGGACCGCAGCATGATCTGGAACTCTGACTTGGTTGAGACCATGGAGCTAAGAAACCTGTTGACTTGCGCGTAAGTTTCCGTTCTTTCCTGCTTTAAACACGCTTTATATACATACTTACATGAATTCTCTTTAGTACCCAAACCGCTGTTGCTGCCGCCAACCGCAAGGAATCTCGTGGTGCTCATGCCCGTGAAGATTACCCTGACCGAGACGACGCCAACTGGATGAAGCACACCCTTACTTTCCAGAAGCAACCCCACGGAAAGATTGACCTCACCTACCGTGCCGTTAACGGACACACCCTTGACGAGGCCGAGTGCAAGGCTGTCCCACCATTCAAGCGTACATACTAGACACGTCTAGTGGAGAATCAACCGGTAGCAGGTGATGTTCCCCAGCCATATCCACCGAAACCAGGCGAAAGGTGGAAAGTCGTCTTCGGTGACGGTGAATTTCTGTTCTAACACTACCTGTATATAACACATTGATTGCATCTTGTCACTGTGAGGTGGCATGCCTTTCCTACTACACCTTTTCCTACCCTCACGCATTGTACCCTATTTCCCCTGTTATTTTATCTGCTATACGTTCTTGGCGCTTTTCCTTAAAATATAGCAATGCAATCTATTCCATAATTCACCCTCCAGCTATACTCCGTACCAACCAATGACTCCATCGTATCCAAGGATCCTCCAGTGTTATTCATCTTCATCAACAAAGAAAAAAATCCGGGGAAGCATCAAACTCTATCTTATTGAGGCCAAGCTTTCTGGGCTGACCTAAGCTAACTGAAGCTAAGCTGGTTTAACGGGGAGATGTTATTGTACGACAGCGCAACAGCCTCAAAACATTGGCATCAAGGAAGCCCAGTGTCAACATCTCACTGTGGTTCTAGTGAAGGGGAAGGTCTGGAGATATGATCTCGAGCTCTGTGTAGCTTTCTACTATCTTTTTACTCTGTATGCTGATCTCCCTTTGTTATCCGCGTGAGGGTACCATAGGAGAAGGAGCTAGACAAGATGACAGTCGGTAGACGGCTCAACGACGAAGAGGCCATACCTCTTACTGCTAAAGAAGCCGGTTCTCGAGATTCGATCGATTCGTCTTCAACAGCCTCTGTATCTCTTACGCTCGTTGATGGAACAAACCATACTACCGCGAAACCCTCCAAATCAGCTCACAAGGGCGTTTCACGAGACCGATACGCAGATGAGAAATACCGTGACGATGTTGAGGAAGACTGGGAGGAAGATAGATATATCCCGTCGAATGCAAAGCCTAGTCAAAGGAGAACTCAAATAGTTTTCTGGCTGCTTGTGGCTCTCTGCGTTGGGGGCTGGGCGGTTGCGTTCTTATTCTTCGTGACGTCCCCAGGCAATACGATAAGCACTACCCCAGATACAGGTTCTGGGAGTCCGGACAGTGATGTTATAAAGCCCGGAAGCCCCCCTGCTGGCAAAAAGATTCCTCTAGATGACGTTCTAGGAGGCGCTTGGTCACCCACTCAACACACGATATCCTGGATTGCCGGGCCGAAGGGAGAAGATGGCTTGCTATTGCAGAAGAGTGAAGGAGGCACGGGGCCATACTTGCATGTCGAAGATGTCCGAAATATCCATGGCACGCAGTCAAACAACAAGTCAATGGTCCTGATGAAGGATTCTGTTTTTTTCGTTAATGATGAACGCATTAGCCCGGAAAAGGTCTGGCCATCGCCGGATCTAAAGACAGTACTCGCCATGACAAGACAAAAGAAAAACTGGAGACATTCGTATACTGGATTATATTGGTTGTTTGATGTCGAGACCCAGACAGCCCAGCCGCTTGACCCTGGTGCCCCCAACGGAAGAATTCAACTTGCAACTTGGTCTCCAACGTCTGATGCCGTGGCATTTACGAGAGACAATAACCTTTATATCAGGAACCTCACTTCAAAAACCGTCAAGGCCATAACAACGGATGGTGGAGCAAATCTGTTCTACGGTATCCCTGATTGGGTTTACGAAGAGGAAGTCTTTGAAGGTAACAGCGCTACATGGTGGTCTCTTGATGGAAAATACATATCATTCCTCCGTACAAACGAGACTACGGTGCCTGAGTTTCCTGTTGACTTTTATCTTTCGAGTCCTCCAGACTATGCCCCCAAACCAGGTGAGGAGGCGTACCCTTACGTTCAACAGATTAAATACCCTAAAGCTGGCGCCCCGAACCCCACTGTCGGTCTTCAATTCTATGATGTCGAACGTGAAGAGAGCTTCTCGGTTGATGTTAAAGATAGCTTGAATGATGATGACCGCATTATTATTGAAGTTATACCAGGCTCTAACGGAAGGATCTTGGTGCGAGAAACGAATCGTGAAAGTTATATTGTAAAAGTGGCTGCCATTGATGCCACGAAGCGAGAGGGTAAAATCATTCGATCCGACAACATTGATGAAATTGATGGTGGCTGGGTTGAGCCCTCACATACCACAACTTACATACCATCCGATCCTGCTTCTGGCCGGCCAAATGACGGGTACATTGATACTGTTATACACGAAGGGTATAACCACCTTGCGTATTTCACCCCACTGGAAAACCCGAAGCCAAAGATGCTTACGACTGGAAAATGGGAAGTCGTCGCCGCTCCGTCTGGGGTTGACCTTAAGAACAACGTGATATACTTTGTCGCTACAAAAGAGAGCCCCATTGACAGACACGTATACAGTGTGAAACTCGACGGCTCAGAGCTTCAGCTGCTAAAGGATTCTGAGAAATCTGCATACTACGATGTCTCATTCTCCCATGGAGCTGGATATATGCTTTTGCAATACCAGGGGCCCAAAATACCATGGCAGAAACTCATGAACTCCCCGAGTAATACAGATTCTTACACGGAAATCCTCGAGGAAAATAAGCGGCTAGCTAAGCTATCCAATGAGTTCGCTCTCCCATCACTGCATTATTCTTCGATCACTGTTGATGGGTTCAAACTACCCGTTGTTGAGCGCCGACCACCGAACTTCGACGAAACAAAGAAGTACCCCGTTCTGTTCCATCTCTACGGCGGCCCCGGTTCTCAAACTGTAAACAAAAAATTCCTCGTTAATTTCCAGACTTACGTTGCTTCCACCCTGGGTTATATAGTCGTCACAGTCGACGGAAGAGGTACTGGGTTCAATGGACGCAAGTTCAGATGTATCGTACGGCGCAATCTTGGACACTATGAAGCCTACGACCAAATTCAAACTGCAAAGGCATGGGGTAGAAAGCCATACGTCGACAAGACCCGAATCGCCATTTGGGGATGGAGTTACGGTGGATTCATGACTTTGAAAACGTTGGAACAAGATGCTGGAGAAACATTCCAGTATGGAATGGCAGTTGCTCCAGTAACAGACTGGCGATACTATGGTAAGAACTTCTGCATCAAATCATGTATGATTCCAAAAAAAAATCTAACCAAGTTACCTGGTAGACTCGATATATACCGAACGTTACATGCACATGCCACAAAATAACGAGGAAGGATATGAAACCGCGTCTGTATCAAATTCCACAGCTCTATCACAGAACACTCGATTCTTGATTATGCACGGTTCGGCAGATGACAATGTTCATTTCCAGAACACCCTCACTTTACTGGATAAACTCGACATCATGGGTGTACACAACTATGATATGCATGTATTCCCAGATTCGAATCATGGAATCTACTTCCACCATGCTTACAAAATGGTTCATCAGCGTAAGTGCTTAACCTTACTTCCCTCAGCCCTGGTTCTTTTTGTTTTAACCTAATTCTCTACCATTTAGGTCTTTCTGACTGGCTAGTCAATGCCTTTAACGGTGAATGGGTAAGACTTCGTGACCCTAAGCCAACAATTATTAAGCGTGTGATACGTCGACTATTACATCGGTAGTCGCCAAACATATTTCCTCGGAATGAGGTGTTTTAGTATTTCCTTGCGCAATTCGGGCCTCTTTGTTCACTAATCTTTCTCGTGACTAACTATATATTCTTTCTCGGCGTCCTGGGATTTTTTCGGTGTGTTAAAGTCAACGTAACATGATCCGCCAGAATCATTTAAAAGGCATGAGCGGCCCATAGATGTATAAGCTACTGCACAATTATATTGAAGTTTTATTTTTTTTTCTTCTACCTTATAGGATTCTTGGTATTTCGATCGATCTTTCTTTCATTTCTGATTTTGGCTGAGCGGCCAACCTCGACAGCGATCTTAGAGACCATGACGTTTCGGGACATTGCCTAATGCAGCTCAAGTATCACTTGACCTGTTTGCCTATGCATCAGCAGCTCCTAGCTCATCATGAAGTATGGGCGGGCGTTTTAGCGCTTGGTCTATGGCGTAAGTTCAGATAAATTTGGGATCTTTTTTTGCCCTTCAATGAAGCTCAAGCTACGCTTATTTCTCCAAGAAGCGGCTTGGTTCCGCACATTCGTAAAGAGTGGGAAACGCCCTGATAATTGCGCGGTAGAGCTTTGGTCCAAATTGCAGTTGTCCGATCACAATAACTAATGCACAGTTGAAATTAGGCCAAACCACGTTGCAGGAAGCGGCAAGAGGCCGTTGTGAGTAATCAGGCCTGTTTGAAATGTATATGTTTAGTATTGTAATAATTGATTTCTTTTTGGTGCTCCGTGCAACTGGGTAGAGAGAATTGTTTCCGAGGTATCATAAACGATAGCTAGCTCAACAGCCTTCAGTATTCAAAGGAGGGTAAAAGGAGGTTCTAAGCGGGTCTTTTTGTTCAGTAGAAAGAAAACAGTGACAAAGTGAGGGGACTGCACATATCGGAGAAGAAGGACAGCAGGGCACGGTTGGCCCCTAGCCCCTTTTTTTTGGTTTCTTTCTTAGTGCAGTCGGTTCGCTTCCATTGCCCGATACACGGGCGGCATGCATTTGCAAAGACTGCCTCCAGCGGATGAAAATGTAGACAGCGTCTGGTCACGCTCCAAGGTTGCTCGGATCTGCTCACTTCTAAGGGTGAGGAAAAAATCAGCCTTTGGTCGGAGGCCAGCTGCAGATGCCTGCTTGACGGTCTTGAAACAGTTCCTGCGGTTGGTTAGCTACTCCGTACTCTATACCCCGTACTCTGTATAGAATCAATTCAAAAAAGGATCCCCATCTGTGGCTACAGCTGCGGTCCGAACCCTGCGAGATAGTTAGTGCGGGGGCTCAAGATCAACCCTCTGGAGGCCTGGTGTGACCTCCTATTCTGTGCATAGGAGGGAATGGGCAAATAGCAACCTGGAGCCCCAAAACGCATGTTCGGCTAAATTGACAGGAATAGGACGCGGAAGTGAACGTATCAAAAGAGTGACACTGACGTCGGTGCGCGTATCCCTTCTGTTGATATTGCACTGCATGATGCAAGAATCGCAGGAGCATTAGGAAACAGCCCCATCGATATGAGTGTGCAGCCGGGGTAGTACGCCAATGAAAGTCCTAGAAAAGGCTCTGCATGAGCGGGAGGGCAGATCAAACCCCGATAAAAATTGGCTCTTGAGAACCCGGGCTATGGATACCTAATGTGTATATATATGCCTCATATGTAACTAGAGAATGGTCGAGGTAAATCAGGCACACCTTGGAGGCAACTCTCTCTTAATTGTCTGGCTCTAGCACGGAGTAGTCCCGGGTCCAAATACTGCTTGTGTGCTGCATCGACATCGACACTAACCTCAGGTTGAGGTTACCTCGATCTTCGGACGCGTTGCAGGATGCGACTTAAAATTCTCAGCCGTGTCCCGCCCGCTTTCCAGATCCGAGAGACATATTGGCTGGATTTCGTACATAGCAAGCAAAGCGGAAAATATCATCAAAGCGGCCTGACGTATCTCTGCCCAAGTCAGGTCATGCCTGGTTCATGGCCCATCCACCGTCATAAGGGATGTTTGCTTCTGAAGATGGCGAACAGTTTTTCATGATCTCTCGGTGCAAATGGGCAAGCAGAAGACTCGATCTCATTTTATCTCCCTAAGAGATTGGCAGCCAGCCGAAGGGAAATCGTTTGAGGTGGACGGGCTGAGCTTGGCTTAATGTCCGCGTCCAGGTCTCCTTGGACATCAAAATCAAGCAGCCAGTCAATTGGCATGGAATAACCGGTCGCCACTTTGCACCAGGGAGGTCAGCTCTGGAGCTGAAGGCCTTGGATACGGGGTTCCTTCGGGACGTCCGGGGGGCATTTCAAGGCCGCCAGCTCACCCCCCCAAGGCCGGGCAGGGATAAGAAAAAAAGGCCCTGTCAGCGAGTGTTAGCAACTGGGCATGCTCCAGGCGAACAATACTCACTGTTGTCTAGTTTAATAGCACGCTGTAGCAACAGTAGTAGTTAGTGTTGTTGGTGATGTCGCTTGCAGGCGCGGTGAAGACGAAGAAGAAGCCAATGAAACCGTCGGGTTCCCACTTAGAGCTGGACTTCGTCAGCTTCAACGTCAACCAAACTTCGTCTTTTCTCTCTAGCTACCAAATAAATAAACGACGCCAGGCATTGCACTTAGAGCTCGATATCAGACTGTGCGCCGGTTAGAAGCAGAGAAAGCTCCTCGGCGGATTTTATTGCGACACTGCCTCTCAACTTCGCTGCTAAGGGCTCTACAAACATCCTGCCTGTTCCCAAAATGGCTGCTCCAACGACGTCTGCTCCAACGAAGCGGTCAATGTACAAAGTCGACTCTTTTAATCCTGCAGTCCTGGACCATCTACGGCGCATCTACGAGTCGCTGCAGTCGCAGGGACACAGGCCTACGGGATCAGACGGTGCAACCCCCTCTGCTTCTGCTCATTTCTTGCAGAATGTCCAGCAGGACCACCATTTCAAAGACGACCAGCCTCGCAGTGACCAGCAGCATGGCGTCCTCGACAGCTTCTCAAGCTTCCTGGAATACATGTCAACTGCTTCAGCAGTGCCGCAGTTTTCGGACGCTCAGACGTACGACGAGGATCTGTCGTTTCCCATGCCCAATTATTTCATTAATTCAAGCCATAACACCTACTTGACTGGCAACCAGCTATACAGCGAGTCCAGCACCGAAGTGTACAAGAATGTATGTGGCTGGATTTGCTTTAATGGTTCAATTTTTCCCCCCTTTCCTTCTCCTATTCCTCGCTTAACTGTCATTCCTTTTTCCTTCTTGGGCCTTTATAGCGCCTCAATATGGTCCATGCTGCCGATCTGCCTCCCCATTTGATACCCGTCTGGGGTGAGGTGTGGTGTGTGTGCAGACGGAGGAAATGCTCAGCATGGAATGTTCTGCCCGTCATCAGCAGCCAGTCAGCAGGGAATGTATTTCTCGCATAATACGATCTCGAGCCATGGGGGAAAAAAAAGGCTAAAGTACTCAGTTGTGCGGACTTGTATCTGCGTCGGGCTTCCACTCCCGTTAGTGACTGCAATGGTGCGAAGATCAATATCTGTTAAAGGCGGCATTTCTTTTTCTTTCTCTCTTCTCAGCATGCGTATTGGCTTGTTTTCTTCTTCCCTTTCCCACTTCCCCTCCCTCCCCCTCTTGAATGTTTGATTTTCGGGCCCAACGTACAGGTTAGCTCGGAAGCTCATGCCCACCTGTGCTCTTCATTCAGATTTGCCTATTTAGGCTATGCTGCTCTGCAAAGCTAGACCCCACCATATCACATTCATAGTTATTCGCTAATTACATACTAGGTTCTGCTCGACGGCTGTAGATGCCTTGAGATTGACGTCTGGGACGGTGAATTGGACTCATCGAGCTCTGAATCATCAGAGGATCAAGATGACAGTCATAAAAAGTTGCGCAAGAAAAGCCATGGAAAGGCTCGGAAGGAGAGCGTTGGACGCTTCAGCTTGTCATCTCTTTCGGATCGCTTCGATAAACTCAGTAGCAGAAGCACGCCTAACGCTGTGCCTGCTAAAGCCCCAGGAGCAGATACGATACGCCCTGAACCCCGAGTATTCCATGGCCACACACTAACCAAGGAAGTCACATTCCGTGATGTATGTTACACAATCCGTGATAATGCGTTTGTAACTAGCGACCTGCCAGTGATCGTCAGCCTAGAGGTGCATGCTTCTCATGAGCAGCAAGAGGTTATGGTTGATATCATGACCGAAGCATGGAAAGGGCTTCTTGTGGAGTTCACGCCCGAGATGGACGCTCTCCTTGCCAAGGGAGACTTAAACCATCTCTCTAACCCAGGCTCACTGAAGAACAAGATCCTGATAAAGGTGAAATGGGTATCTCCCGATAAAGAGAATACCCCGCCTGCCGAAGGGTCCATCGAGATCGTTGACCTTCGGACCGTAGGCGGAGCCAGCGATGGAGCTCAGAATAAGGTCGTAGCTGGATCGACGTCAACGAAAACCAAGCCTCAAAAGATCATTCAGTCCCTTAGCCGACTCGGAATATTCACGCGCGGTTATACTTTTAATAACTTTGCTCAACCTGGTAAGCGTCACTCTAGTTTAATTTTAACCCACATCCCGTCTCCCGTCCCCCGTACCTGGTGCATTGGCCATTTTGCCAGACCATTTTAAAACAATTCCCCAAAAACAAAAAAGAGAGCTATTGACTTGCGTTGGCCTGTAACTCGAGGACGTGGAAGAGACTGAGGCCATCGGCTGCTGTGTCAAAAACCACTCTTGTTCTGAGCAGAGAAAGTGATCCGTTCTCTAGTCAACGGATATTAAGTATTGACGACTAAATTCTTACAGAGGCGAAGATACCACATCACATATTCTCGCTCTCAGAGGCTGCGGTGAAGTCTGCGCATGAAAAGGAACGTCAAGCATTATTCGAGCACAACAAAGACTTCATGATGCGAACCTATCCATCCGGAATGCGAGTAGATTCTTCCAATTTAGACCCATCTTTTGCCTGGCGTCAGGGAATCCAAGTTGTTGCTCTCAACTGGCAAAACTGCGACAAAGGAATGATGCTGAACAAAGGGATGTTCGCAGGGAGTGGGGGATGGGTGCTGAAACCCTCAGAGTATCGTGGATCGGCTGGTTGCAGCAGCTCGACAAGTTCATCGCCGCAGGAGCAGATGGCTGCCGCTGTCAACGACAGTCACCTCAAAGGGGTGCAGGCAAGTATGAGTGTTCGACGCAATGTGATTTTGTCTATTGAAATCTATGCAGGACAGAACATAATCGCCGGGGATGGGAAGTCAAATCCCAAAAGTTTCCATCCATATGTAGCTTGTCATTTGCATGTTGAACGACCCAAGGACAGCATCCATGCTACCAGCAAGGATTATGACAGCAGCGACCCCAACTACAAATGTCGAACTAAAACTTGCAGCGGCGCCGATCCGGACTTTGGAGGCCAAATCCTCCAATTCCCAAGCGCTCCTGGCATCCTTGAAGAGCTCTCTTTTGTCAGGTTAGTGGAATATTAGCCAATCACCCCTTCCCTCCATGCGACCTGCATATCACACAACCAGCGCCGCATCGTGAGGTGTGTATGGATGTTGATATGTCAACGTCCCCACATGCCAATGTGATTCCTTTTTTATGGCGGAATCACCTGGTGTCTCCCACATATGTACAGATGTCTAGTAGAGTATGGCATTTGGGCAAGAATACTCTGCAAGGCTGGCGAGGGGACGGAGTATTTCACCCGACATCCTGAGCCGTACCCAAAGGACGATAAGAAAAAGAAATATGAGGAGAAAAGCCGCAGCGATGTACCTGCGACAGAAGCAAAACGACGATATCCCTCCATTCTGTCTCCCTTACTTTCCTATTTGGGCCGGGAGTAAACGAACCAAACGGCTATCAAACTTGTTGAATAACGCTGGTCCCCGTTTCCTCCGCAGAGCCACATCGACAACCCCCACCCCACTTATTGTTCTTCCTTTCCTTTCTGCCTCAACCCACTCCCTTTTTTGCAGTTGATTGAATCGTTCATCTGATAGTTTTGTCACTGATTGACGGGCATCCCCGCTGACCGATATTCCTTGGCAGATTCAAAATTAAAGACGACGAAATCGGTATTGACGATTTACTGGCATGGGCTTGTATAAGGCTAGATCGCCTACGTCAAGGTTTCCGGTTCATTCGGTTATCTGATACCAATGGGAAACCAACCGATGGGATTCTTCTGGTTCGGATATCGAAGCGCGAAGAGTGAAGGACTATTTCTCGGTTTCGCTCGACTACTACCGAGTACCGCTTTTCCCTACTCGAGAGGCTAGCCAGTAAAGGTCTGCTGGCACACACAGTGTCTCGGAGCTCGATTCTAGTCTGCCGAAGGTCAAGAGTCAAAAGAAAAATCAGAGGGAGAAAGGGAGGGAGGTTGCGACTTTCGATACATTTCCTTGCATAGCATTTTTTGAAGGCGACATACCACATTTTCGTGATAACTATATTAAATGGAGCCAATATAGTCAATATATCCTTTATAGCCGCTGTATAGTTTAGGTACTTGATGTTTCCGAGTGTGCCGTACATTGACATGAGAATATATGTCTAGCTGCATATGACCAACAGTAGCGCATACCCAGATTTAGTACCATGAGCGTCGAAATAGGGAAGCGTCAATCCTTATTTCAGGTTCCGTTGCAGTGGTTGATCCAGAGGTGGATACAACTCTGCCCTGTTTAAGATCGTATATGAAAGACTCGGCACCTGGGCTGGCGTATCCCTACGCTACTCTGTGTGCTTTTACGATAGTCAAAATAGCCAGCATCCAGGATTAAGACCCGTCAGGGGACAGGAGCACACCGAACATTACGAGTTTGGGCGCCCCCCAAGCTTTCAGCTATCCAAGTATACCATGGCATGGCCGGGGGTACACGCCTTGGTAGGACTCCGTTTATACGGAGGCATGGGAAAAGACATGCATCCCAAATTGTTTCAAGCCACCACTCGCCAAGTGTTCACCATGTCGATTCATTGCATGAACTGTCTGGAGTATCAGCTTCCATGTCAATAGTTGACAGAGAGATAGTACCTGGCTTATCGGCGAAACGTCGCAGTTGATCCCTTCCGGTGTAAAGGAGGAAGAAGAAAGTAGGCTAGAATAGCTTAAATCCATCGATCTCTTGGCCCTTGTCATGGATATAATAGGGGTGCATGTAAGGGAAAAACTACATGGTACATGTCGGTCTGGCTAATGCAAAGGAACCTTTTTTCAGCAGAGATCCGCTCCCCAAAGCGACGGTACTCGGGGGAAGGCAAAGGGCCACAAGAGGTACAATACAAAAAAACCTTCTTTTTTGTAAAATGCCGCCCTTGGTACCTTAGTGAGGACCTCTCTTGGCCATCCCTGTAAGGTTTTCTTTGGATGTGATGCTGCGCCGCTCGACTATACTTAGTTATTTCAAAGACTGTGCTTTGTAGAAGCGGGTGAAAAACAAAAAACAAGTAACCAGAAAGTATGGCTCATCATTGAGCATCCATTGAGCGAAGTCCAATAAGCACGCTTCGTTCGAACCTCGGCCTGCTCATCAATGCATCCTTTATATGTAGGTGTTATTCATATAATCGTCGCCTACCACTAGGCGGGTCTTGTCCTGTGCGCTTTCCGGTTCTCCCTTACGCCGTAAGTAGTTATCGTGAATATCGATGTGAGATATATACTTATTTCGAAGAGTGGCGATGCAGCTATGTGGGGAGATTCTGTCTGGCCTCCTTCCGCACTTGACTGCGGGACGGTACTCCGTGTTCAGCGGTCACACTTGCGTAAACCCCATAAGGACGTCTCTTCGCTTGAAAGGACGAAAGGGGTTGATCCAGATGCCTTATTTGGGTAATATATACTTCTGTTGCTGGGATCCGAAGAATGCCGTATCAAATTGGTTGCATCTTCCTCTTCCTCTTCTTTTTTTTTTTTTGGGAATGCTTAAGATGTAGGCTAAGATGCAGGGTTTTTGTCCATTAATGACTCGAGCTGTCACATTTCGCTCGTGCCACCCTCGTCATTATGCGGTCGGCCGTTAGCCGCTAGCGATTGTAACTGGTGGGTTGCCCCATGTGAGGTCGTACTAGCTGTGGGCCATCATTATTGACCGATCAAGGTGCAGAGGGCCTGCGTGAGCGTTATTCAACATAGAGAGACCCAGAGTTTCCGTGTGTCATGATTAATGTCATTTTGGACTTTCGGTGCAAGCTTAGTAGCAAACAAAGGAGCCGAGCTGGATACTTCCCGTTCGCATCCTTGACTTCAGAAAAAAAATCTGGAACATAGGAGAAGGGTCCAGGGTAAGGAAAATGTGACGAAGAGGCGAGGATCATGGATAGTCTCATATTAGCCTTGTTTCATTCGTGGATTCGAAACCATTTTAGCTGACAGCACCTCGTATGCTCGAACTCGGAACTCGCTTTGGATATGCTCGTCAACGGTCGACATGCCTTCGTTGAGTGTCAACAGATAGCTCAGGTGACTGAAACAGCCAGTGTCGTCATCCTACTTTCGAACGGTTTGATAGTTACTCGTGGGGGAAGCCAGCCGAGTTCACAGCGCGGACGGCGGTGGACCGCATGGAGGGGCGCAATTCGACTGCACTTGGAGCTAGAGCTTGGCCTTTGCTAGCCAGCGAGCGAGTGAGCAAGAAGGGACAGATTGAACGAGACCAAGAGGCGAACGGACAGTAATAGTGCGGCATACTCCGTACAGGGGAGAGAAGCATATCCCAGGATGAAGCCCCACAGGGCCAGGATTGGCTCTTTTGGCCCTGAAATTCTGCTGACAGACTTGATAGTTTGGAGTATCTGTTGTTTTTTGGAGAATACTAATTATTTTTCACCATCAGCCATCTGAATCCACAGGGCGTCGACGCTAGGGAGAATATCTGTCTCCCTCCAGTGGGTTTCGTGGCGGCCTGAAATTAGATTTGGGGGAGGATTGAGGGGGGTAGTTTATGACAACTCACCTGTATGAAGGTATTGCTGTATTCCTGATGTATCTCCCATCTCCCGACTCTGAAGAAGCGCAGCCGAAGATCAAGGGGGTGGGAAACAACCCCGGCGAGAGTGTGAGATTATAATTTTTTTTTTTTTCTGGGTTGATAATAAAAAAAAGGAACAACGGCCGTGCTGGACATAGCTTGAATAATGTTTGTAAAGAAGAAAAAAGGGTGAAGAATCGCGATTCGCTCCGTCTGTCTGGAAGATAGGGATATCCAATAGATTGGATAGCTGCAATGTTGGGGACCCTCGTCCGAGCTAAACCAGCTTTCTGACATCACATCGCAAATTTAACCTTGTGCATGTCGGCAAATGTATCAGTACCCATTTGGTCCCCTTGTTGGTAGCGCCGATCGTGGAGCCTTGCAAAGGAAAAATAGTACATACCGCGAACTTGGGGAAATTGGTGGGTATCACAGATATAAAGCTCGCCTGCCTCCGCTCCCCAGAGGTACCGTTGTTTCCTTGAAGAAGGCAAAAAAAAATTCCCAGTCCACATATATATATATATATATCTCTTCAGTAAACAGAGAGATTCTAAACGCAGCCTCCCCCGTCAAACAACACAAGAAAAAGAACAGCAGTCCATCCAAGAATATTTCTTCCTTACCGTTGCCATAACGCCAATTGAAAGCTTTCCTTATCACATTGCCGACGTTAATATCCCCCTCCTGAACCACAAGAAGACGATTGCCGTATATAAAGACACCTGCCCGTCGCCACTTATTCCATACATACCCACGGAAGAAGGGAAGAGAACCACAGACCAGCGAGCACAACTACCAAAGCTGCGTGAACCCACGGGTTTCGGAGGAATATTGTTCTTTATATTGCCCAGAGAGAAAGAGAGCGGAATCCCTCTTCACAATGGTTGCAGTCGCTCGTCTCAGACCAGTTGGAAACGCCGCTAAGCAGACTCACATTCAATCACAATCACGGACTCGAAACTATATGTCTCCTGTAAGTTGCTTTATACCGAATCTCGAGATGTGACCGCATGCTGATGGATGTCTCATCTAGATGCCAGGAGTACTCTGCCCAAGCTGCAAGTCGAACGGAGAAGACACATGGGTTATCCCTGGTAAAAACTGCCATGTATGCGGCACATCATGTTGATAGGTCGAGGTACGCTTGTGTTAGGGGGGCAAAAAGACACGCTGCCCCCTAACCTCAGGTATGAAGCATAGAATGGGCAATAGAGCTCACGGCGGAATAGAAATGAGTTCGGACTCAGAGATGCCGTCCGACTTGGTCGTCGAGGCCGCCGGAATCAAGTGGTCGACAACCAATCCAATGGCGTCAAATCGAATCGAGCTCGGGGTGGAAAATTGCACAAAAGGGGAGAAAGATTAATATTTTCGTTTCGGACACATCGATCAGGCTGCTGGCTCCTGATGCTTTTTGGTGATGGGGGAAGGCCGCGAGAATACATGGCCCCCATGGATGGATTCTTTTTCTAAAACGTTTTATTTCCTTTCCTTTTCTGGCGGAGATAGTGCTGCATTTCACGGGTATAGGATGGCATTCCTACCCATCACCTGCATCAATGTATGATTAATATGATTCCTTGAGGTTGCTTCTGCTCTCCCTGTTGACAGGGACATGGCGGTAATGGCGTTGGCAATTTTCAATTTCACCTGTTTTCACAACGGGTTTTTTCTTGGTGATTACTGGTCCTGAATGGAGCCTTTTTTTCCCTCTCTTTTTTCACTTTTTTTTTCACTTTTGCAAACGGTATGATTTTGCGACTCGGTTAGGAAGCGCTTCTTCGGCTGGAGTTGAGGTTTGTGGTTTTCAAGCCTTCTGTTCCTTGGGAATACAGGAATGCATTAAGTGGATTGAAAAAGGGTATCTCTAAGCCATCTCCGCCATCCACATTGTAAATTCAGTGTGTGGACGTTGCCAATGGCGGCTCCTTAGCTATATCAAGCGTCTTTCATCAGCCCAGGAACCTGTAAATAGTCAGTGTCCACTGCTCGGCAACCTACGACAACCAACCAGGAGACGGCATCTTTCAACCTCTAGGGTATCGAACCCCGGGCAGGGATAGTTAAGCTCATGGATACACCAAGGCTGTCACCCACCTGCTGACGTGGGGTTGGAGGATAGTGATATGTTGTTGTGACAGCCAAACGGCGGACACAATATCTAGATAGCTAGTTAAGCGAGGGAGGGAGCCAGCCAAAACAACAGAACTCGTCTCCAGCGATAAACCAGCAGGCACCGCGTGTAAATCTGCACAATAGACAGTGGAAAGTCGATATCTGGTCTGGTCTATCGAAAAGCCGCTGCGGTTGTTCTGCTGGGGTCCTCCTTGCATATGCTGGGGTCGGAATAAACGAATAAGCGACGAGGCGAAGCGCGGTGTAAGGACGACGATAAAAATAGACTTCACACGCATGCTTTGTGTCGCCTGACGCCTTGAGGATGTGATAACAGCTACAAATAGCAACTACGATATAGTAATATTAATATAACGGGTATTATAATAATAATAGCTGATAATATGTTTCATGGCAGGTTGACCCGATGGCGTGTGTTTGTCACTGATACTTATTGACATGCAGCATGTACCCCTTCCACGCAGGAGCCTTACTTCTAAAAACGAGGCCTAGCTATGTACTTGTCCCTTATAGCTTCAAGAGCCGGGTAACACATCCTTGCCTTTCAAATACTCCGTACTTCACCACAGGCTTCTAGCTGGGCCTTTGACACAGCTTCTCGGATATCTTCTGAACGTCTCATCTATCAGAATATGCGGGTCGGGGGATGCTGCTATAAGGAAGGAGAAGGCGGAGGTGGCTGCATAACATTTATGATAGCCCTTACTCGGCTGGCTGGACTTCCCTCAGCTGTTCATTCTCGTATATCCAAGGCTGCAGCTAACTTTTTAGGTGATAGGTTATGTTCTTGAAATGCTACCAGGCGGTTGGCCAGCCCGAGTCATAGCTTGATCCTCAGCGCCGGGACACAGCAAGCCACCGGGGTTGGAGACCTGCAGGATAAAGTTATGCCACAGGGTTGGAAATTGGTCGGTGCTGAGGAATATAACCTGGTAGGCCATGGATCTTCATGCAGCTAGGTCGGGAAAGCATAATTGACGGCAGAGAGGTGGGCTGGCTGGCTGGTAGACTCAGGTACCTAGACCTAGAGCGTCGAATTTGATCCCAATATTCTGTTGAGGAAGAGGTATCGGCGCTTGATAGTCTCATGTACAAATCATATCAGGCTGATTCGAGGTCAATGAGTCCGATCTCCCATTCCCCGAACTTCCTGCCCGATGGAGGCAATAGATCTGTGCTCCTCTCCAGCACAGCTTTTATGCGGCTATATATGTGGAGCGGGAGACGTAGTTCTTCCAAGGATGTGACAGATGGCATTCCCAGTTCTGGGTTTACCAGGGGTTGCACGTTGGCAACATGTTGGTAGAACACTTTCAATGCACAACTGGAAGATACAGAGCGGCTGCCACCGGAGGTATCGTGGAAGGAGTAACGCAAATCAGTGTTGAAGACCCATGCCTTATGATATGGTTAGGTAAATCAATTTTTCTTCTTTTAGATGGGATAATCATACCAATAGTCCATCCTTTTGCTGATTATCCTTAGCTTCACAGTGTATTGCAAACCTCCTTGCACCTGAACGCTCCACACATTCAAGGAGTTGAAATCCCACGATCATCTCGGGCGGATAAGTTTCCAGTACATCCCTGTCCATACGAGTGGCTGTCGCGCAGCCTGCTTCATGCGATACGGAAACACTAGCTTTGAATAGCTCAACTCCCTGGAGGTGTTTTTGAACTTCGCCTATGGTTGAACCGCAGGACTTACAACAAAGATTTGACACGGGAAGTACTGAAGAGGAATCAGTTCCGTGGTCGCAGGGGGCCCCGGGATTTGCATTCTAAAATTGACAAGTATCATACATTAGCCGCCGGACGCAACATATTTGTGGTAACCTATAGATTCAAAGACTGGACAGGAAGTAAGGCTTTGGGGCTATCGACAGAAGAGCGTATATATTGCTTAACGTAAAGAGAATAATTTGCCACCATGACCACAGTTAGTGCAGTCTTGCATCCATGTATCTTAGACCGTATCTCAAATTGGCCAACGGGTCTCTGGCTAAGTTCAATGCATGGAATACGTCTAGACGACCGATATCTGCGGAATTTTACCCCCCTTGCCTCAAATACCATCCAGAGCCGTGAAGACAAGCACCCTGGCAACACAGGAGACAATTAGTTGTAATCAGTAGTACTGTCGTCCATCTCTTGTTAGTCACTAATTTCCAGGCACGGGGTCCAGAAAAGGCGAGGCCAAGGAGGATGATGGTATTACTCAATACAAGCTATTCGTTCCCGATGCTGTTTGAATGTTCATCCCCACAGACCTAGATGGCGTTCAAAACTCAGGGTTAACACCTAGGATACCGGTCCTGTTGATCTAGGGCAGTTGTATCGGAAATTGGGCCATGGAAAATGTTCCAATCTCCTTCTTATTGCCCAAACAACAAATAAAATCTTCTAGTGGCACCTAAAATAGACTATGCAGTCATAACACCATCGTAATTGTGGCTTATAAAGTAATCTGGAATCAATCTTTCCTTGGAAAGATAGGCTGGGGCGCGTAAAAATCCGGTATATATAAAGAATTTCTTACCATAATTTTCGCTCCACGACAGTCGCTTTCGGTCATAATAAACGAAGTAACGTTGACAAAGATGGTCCCAGGGTTGCAAACGACTCTGTTCGAAGCACCATATCCCTTGGTATGCCCATTGGGGTCTGTAGAGTCCACACCTCCATTATTGGCGGGTATCGGGTCAGGTTTATGACAATGCCATAGGTCCATCATTTCAGCCCAGTCTGCACTGGGGAGATCTTTCCACACAATATCTTGGCCCTCTCTTGGGTCAAATAATATATTTAAGCAATCGCGGCAACAAATGCATGTCTGCGAGGTCATACTCTTTGCTGGCCAAGGGCTCATTGACGTATAATCACGGCTAGAAACGCCATGTGTGGTGGTACCTGCTTCGTCTATGGGAAGACGAAAGGAGTATTCATTCTCTCCGCCGTGCGAAGTGGCCGGGCTGGCCGTCAGGTAATCCCTGGCTCGGGTAGATATATGGCAAGGGAGCTTGAGCGTAAGGGTCTTTTCGAAATGCGATACTGTCACAACAGAGCGCGAGCTATCAAGAGAAAGCACCGGTCGGGAGTCGTTCTCGGTCGGACCTTTGGTGGTGACGAAGAGACGTATCTGTCGGATATTAGCTAGCAGCTCAGCGTACAGCAACATACATAGCGTTGAAGAAGAGGACGAAGCCATCACTGTTAAGCTTGTCGCCGTTGAAACGTTTTTCTGCTTCTTTCTGTGTTGCGAACGCGAAAGGCGATGTTATCACGACCAAGTGCAAACAGTGCAAACATGAATCTCAGCCGCAAAAAGGAGAAAAAGCAAGCAATATCAAATTGTGGCTTGACCTGAACAAGGATGTCGGAGTGGGAGCCTTCGTATAGAAACTGGTCTCACCAGGCCAGGCAGCACAATTTACTCTGTTGTGGGTTTGAGATATAAAGGTGTTTCTGTCAGCTGTGGCTAAGCTGCTCGAGTTACCAAGCTCTGGTGGCGGTGTATATGTTCCGATATCAAGACCATAAAACGGAGTAAACCAATTTGTACTCCGTATCTCAGCCTCTTGAGCCCAACGGCTTTACATTTCTCATTCTCTTTACTGGTATGGAGAAATCTGTGTCCAGCCTGTCCTTACCAGGCGCCGGCGTCCAACGGCGGCCAGTTCCTTCATCTGTTCAACCAACCCCCCAGGACGCTCCTCCGGACTATACAGAGCCATCGATTGCTCTCTCTCAAGAACCATCAAGTCCACGAGCGCCTGTTTTATCCAATTCCTATCTGCCTCCTGTAAACTTCGCCCATTATCATATCCCCGGAGCAAGTTTATCCAAAGATGGACTCACCATCACTGTGGCGCCTTCGGAACTCAGCTCCAATTCAGAGGCATTGACAAGATTTATAGTCCAGCAAGCTGCGTTGCCACCAAAACCCGAGGTGCGCATAGCCGGCGTCAGGGATGTTACCGGAATTCGCAAGGTTGACTTCGATATCCGGATAAACATGCTGAACCAGATAGTCCGCCCCCCTGGCTCCTCTTCGTCATGGAATTATGTTAAGATTGTTGGCAATCGCTCTACTGGCTCTCCAGGAGGTGCCATTGGGGATATTTCTACGTTTGCCGATCGGTTTTGCAGGGACCCGGCTACCAACAAAACGTAAGTAGGATTATGTTCCTGGAAAAGCATTCAGTGCTACTATCAAGTATCTTGCCCAAGTATGCTAACCGTTTTGTAGCTTTATCCTAACTCGGGAAGTAATCAATTGGAACACTCAGATCCTAGAAGGTCGATTACGGACTTTGATAGCCTCGTTGAACTATCAAGGTCGTGTGGTGATCACTTTCCCCTCTACACATTCCCGTGTCGTTGTTCCGGGTCCAAAAACAAAAAATTCTTTTTATACCCAGATTGTATCCCTATTCAAGGACCCGAAGCGGTACGATATGGTGCGGTCTATGTGGCCATATGCAAATATGGCGGGCTCAGAAACGTCAGAGGATCCAAGAAGGGTTTGCGCTGTCCAATCCGAAAATAAGTGGTGGGATGAATGGAAGATGGTTATTGCGCACGCTATAATGGAAGGAAGACAAGGATGGCTGTCATTAGACGATTTGATTGAGCTTGCCATGAGTCCGGTAAAAGAATTTAAGGCCAGGGACCCGTGGGAGAAACCGGACATACAATGAGCATGGCAATATGTTTTATACAATTTCCTGACTGCCAGGAACCGTGCGCTTAATTGTTGGAGGAGCTGCGTTAGCGGGCGTTGTGGGTTTATAAATCGCGTGCGGTACTATGTACTCTTCGAGTATTACGGTATCATCCTACTATGACTTATTTTAAAACTGACTTACAGCCAACGCATATTAGTAATTAGACCGATATTTATCATGGACTTCATTTTTTTTTGGAAGGCTAGTATCAAACCCGGAACTAAAGTCAACAATAAACCCGTGGTTCATCCCGAGCTAAATCCATCAAACGTTTCGATAAATTTCACTGCAGCCCGGAGAAAAAAGTCATCTTCATCAGTCCAGGTCTTCGCGGCCTCCTTTAGGGTTCTCAAAGGCTTTATATAATGAGCCAAAGTCGCCATATCGCCAGTCAGAGCCTGTGTATCCACCCAGTTCCAATCCTTTTCATCGACATTGTAGCATTTTATGTCATTTACATCTATGTTCGGGCGTAGCTGGGCAACATAGACACCTACCGTCAACAAAAGCCACTGACGCAGTAGAGGGCCATGGAACTGCTTTGGGACCAGAGGTATAATGACACGCAGCGCATGGGTTGTAGTTAAAAGATGGTCAAACAACAAATCGTGTTTTTTCCCGCCATGGCGAGTGACCATGAGTATTGTTGCGAGCCGCTGTATGGCATGGAGCTGTTCTGTTAGGTTTGTATCTTGAAGATCCCATGCCATCCAATGCTCAAGTATCAAACCTTGCTGTGTTTTCAAGAGTACTTCAAGATTGCTACCCCCTGGGCTTGCGAAAATGCCGTCGAATCGGTCATCTCTGTGGATTTTATGTAGAACCTCAAAAGGTGAACTAGTGGTATATTTTGGGGTTATATTCTTTTGAAGGTCCGATGGTTCGTCAAAGAATTTGTGAATGTCATCATAACAGCATGAAATCATCGCAAGTGATTCCATAGCAATGTCTCGACTTGAAACTTCAAATGCATATCCAAGATGTATAAGTGGATGGCCGACTGTAACAAACACATTAGCAAAGTGTGGGTACATAACTGGAACGAGGAACACTTACAGCCCGCAATCAAAGAGTTTATTAATGGTTTCTCTCCAGAGCAAAGGTACTGCAACACTACAGCATTCCAGTCATATCCCATGCGCGACAGCTCATCTTCAAAAAAATCCAAATAAGCTCTCTGAAATCTATTGGCTGAGGTTAGCAGATTGGTATCCCGGAATATTCGTGCTACCTTAAGGAGGAACCGTACTCTCTCTTGCCCAAGGCTAACCTCCAATCTTCGGCTTGCCCGATCTCACTAGGCGAGGCTCTCCAGGGCTCGAGCTCCTTGGATTCAGCTTCATAGAGCCGGTCTAGGTGATCCGAGTTTCCACCGAGCAAGTATGCCGTAGAAAGGAGCTAATAAATGGATGACATTAGAAAAGAAGAATTTTGGGAATAGGCGATAAGTAGTTAGCTCACATGGGGTATATAGTTGTAATATGTGAGATTGTTATATAGGATAGAATTGGTCGCATGGTTTAGTTTCAATAGATGCCGTAGCCGCCTGCCAGACTTCTCTTCTACGGATTCAACATCACAGCCATGAATAGCCTTTATTTCGACGCCTGGTAAATTTCCATCAGCCTTTTCCGCCGGCGAGAACCAGGAGAATGGCAAACGGAAGTTGATCATGGAATCCATAATGGCTGGAGCCTGTGGGCGGGACGGCGTGTGTCTGGGCGAGCTAAACTGGAAAAAAAAAAAGGCTCCGAAGTGATAGCTCAGAACTGGCTAATGTGACAGGAGATCAGTAGCAGGTAAAAATCTATCTAGCCTGTCTATGACACGTATAGTATCGCACAAAGTAACAGAACATCCATACAAATCGTCTTTTGTGTTTCTGTTCGTTGAATTCCGCGGTTTGCGGCCTTCAGGTTGTCGGATGTCGGATTACGTCATCATCCCGTCAACTACAACCGTTCATCCACAGAGAATTGGTATCTTTCGCCATGCCATTTTCAATATTGAAGGACTCTTCCAGCTCGCAAGCTCCTTATGTTTTGGGAGATGCTGCTCTTGCGATGTTACTCAAGCACTAGTGGGCAGCCGCTTGCCAAAAGGACAGTAAAAGAAGCGACACTAGCCGACCGAATACCAACCCTCGATATACTTTGCATCATACTTGATCTCAATGTGATTAATATAATTACGACTGCAGAATTACATCTACAGAAGTCGTTTTGCATGGAATAAAATGGGAGTGTGCCGGAATATTTAGATTCATATTAATTCTTCTAGGCTAAGTAACTAGCCATGACCCCATATCCCTATCAGTAACAACACAGGCTAGCTATCTTCCACCAGGCCCTTAACCTTGACGGATTGCCTCCAGGCAGCGCCTTTCCAAAGGACTAACAAGCTGCCTAGATAAAAGACTGCTAGAATGATGGCGTCAATGCCAAAGCCTAGTCCATAGCCAACAGCCTCATTCAGGTTTGGGCTCCAGAAAGGCACAGTGAAGGAGACAGTCTGGCGGATGACATTAATCAACTGGAGCACTGAGGGCGAGTGTGAGGAGTAGCAGTCGACACAGTATGTCTTGAGTGGTGTTGTAACCAACTGTAACCCGAAATTAGATATGCCGAATCCAATGCAAGGTGCGATCCAGTGGGTGCGGCTTTGCAGCGTAACGCCAAATATCACCACGCCCGCGATTGCCATGACATAGCCAGGAAGGCCGACGAAGAGCCGGGATTCCAGGCGTTCTCGGTCGTTGGCACGGTTAGCCCGGCGCCGTTCCCGGTTCATGGCCCAGTCACTTCCTGGACCGGCCAACCTTTCGCCCAACAAGACACCAACTAGAGGTCCAAGGAAGAATAGGCCCTGAGCAGTGGCATCGAACCCGTAGAACTTTTTCAGTGCCAGGGGTAAGATGACAGCAATACCTGGAGATGTGATTGCGAAGGTGACTCCGTAGGCAAATGCAATCAGGGCCAGGTGCGGAGATTGTAGCAGGAGAATGGGCTCGATGAGGGACCGTATGCTTAGTTGATTGGGAAGTGGTTTTGGGAGACGCATCAATTCCGAAGGGCGATATGCACCAAGTCCCGAGTTCTGTCGATGTTGGTACGAGGTCTCTGGACAGGTAAAGATGAAGCCTAGTAACTGAACAGCGTTCACGATAGCGACCAGCCAGAGAGTCCACTGCCAGCCTAGATAATAGACCACAGGCCCACCGATAAGTCCACCCAACGGTGCGCCTATAGCCACCATCTGTGTCCAAATACCGTTCTTACTCCCGCGTTCTTCAGCGCTGAAAAGTTCGACAACGATGACCCCAGGAACAACAAATCCGGATGATATACCGATTGACTGAAACACTCTTGCCGCCATCAAAGAGCCATATGTCTTCGCGAAACCCCCGCCCAAAGCAGCAATGCAAGATAGCAGCATACTCGCGATTAGCACCGGCCGACGACCGTACGAGCTCATCAATGGGTTCCAGAAAAAGGGTGCCACGCCCAGGAAGAGGACATGGACTCCGACGAGATATGTCGCCGTTTGAGGGGTTACATCAAACTGTGCTGCCATTTCGTGTATTGCAGGGATGGGGAGGGCACTGGTGAAGCCTGGACCGGCAGCATGAAACCCAGATTGCAGCAAGATCAGATGTTTGCGGAGCCATGGCCAATTCTATAGTTGCAAATGGTCAAACCAAGCTCAATTCTTTCAGCTTTCCCAAGGAGATACCAGAACTAACCATAGGAATATCCAGAGTTTCTTGCTCCGTGTCAGAAGAGAGCTCGCTGTGCTGAGCCTCCTCGGCCTTGGCTGAATCTATGAAGTCCATTTTCCAGAGCTCTACTCCCTCGACATCGACCAATTAGTTAATAGTGATGCTTGGTGCAGAACTTGAACCCCGTAGTTTCTAAAAAATCTAGGGGATCATAGTCATAAAAATGCCATCACGACTGAGCCACCTGTTGGAGCTGGGTATATATTTCGGCAGGGACCAAAACCAGTGCGGAATCTCCCCATGTTTTCAGCGGAACACCCCATATTACTTGCTGCTACCCCGTTTGACGTTGATCGAATCCACAGTCCCGCAAAATATGCTACATAGATTCTGGGGTATGAAGTCGGAACGGTATAAGTGGTCGGTTGTTGAAAGAACCTGAGGAGCGTGTTGGCCCGAGAGCCGAGGGCGAAGCTCCGTCAGCATTAATAATTCTTGCAAATTGCTCTTTGTCGCTGAATCAGCGTATTAAACAGTGATCTAACTCATTCGGTGCGCATAGAGATATAGAAAAGCCTGGGCTATCCCTGGTGATGGCTGGAGATAACTCCGTAACTGGCTTCCCATTTCAGTTGCAAAGCGCGACGACTACCTCGGGTAGACGGTTCGGGGTAGACGAAGAATGAATCTTATTGGTTAGAGTGTATCCCTTAATCTCCCCGATCCCCCCGATATAAAAGTGTATCTGTGGGTCTTTCCGCCCTTATTCCGTCCCCAGTTTTACTATTTTTTAGCCAATGATAATGATGTTAATCAAGGTTAAACTAGATTCTCCAATAAATTAAGTCATATCAAAGAGGTGGAAACGTTTATTGGTTAATACGTATATATAGTATTTTTAGCCAATAGAAATAGCAGAGAGGCTAGAGAGCATGTTAAATCTAACCAATAACACTCTGGAATTCCTCTTTAACAACACCAAATAACACATCACATACGGAATACGTCGAAGCTTCTTTTTCTCTACCGTGACACAGTGGAGGCAGCCGCAGAAGGGGCTGGGGTCGCGGCCAAAGATGTGACTGACTACGGTGGCTGAGGGAAGTCTCATCCCACCAAAGCAAGGAACATGGTGGCTTGAGATCGTCGACCGAGGGGTTGACTAACTAACTGCTACAACTAAGGGGGGAGTTCGTATAATCACAGCCTATTTACTAGACTGCTTGACCACCAGGAGGCTTTGGGTTTTTTTCATTCTCCCACTTCCCAATCAATTGAACGGTGAAATTTGACTGACAAGCAATAATAATGTCGGTTGACACGAAAAAAAACTACTTTGGACCTCGAGATGATGAGGATGCTGAGGAATACTGGGCACTCTTGCTTAAAGCCGAAGAGCTCGGGGACTCTGATGAGTGGGAGAAAGCATGCGAGGCACAGGAACGAGCAGTGAAGTACGCCGAAGAGCACTACGGTGATGACCTAAATGCAAAAAGCGGCCTCGCATACCTCTACCGGCAAGTGAGTCGCCCCAAGGATGCCGAAGAGCTTGACCGGTACATCCTCTCGGTGCAACAGCAAATCCTTGGAGATGACCACGAAGACACAGTAGCAAGTCTGAATAACCTTGCAATTGACCTGAAGGCACAGGGTGAATATGATCAGTCACTTGAACTGGACAAGAAAGCCCTGGACATTATGCTTCGCATCAAGGGCGAAGACTCTCAAACCACACAGACGAGCATGCACAATCTGGCCAACAGCTACTTTAACAACAAAGATTACCAAGCTGCGCTAGACTTGCACCAGCGGGCATTGGACCTCAGGACAAAGACCCTAGGCCCTGAGCACTTTCAGACGATTATGACGATGGACCTCCTAGGGAGGGATTATGGTGCCTTGGATAAATTCCAGGAAGCAGTGGCCCTCCAGGAGAAAGCCGTGGAGGCTGCAAAAACCCACCTCGGCCCGTCCAACCAGACAACTATCAAATGCAGTCTGAACCTAGCAAGTACATATGGGCGTCTCGACCAAGCCGGCTCTCCGGAGACGCCTGGAGGGACGTGGGAGTCCAAGGGGATCAAACTCCTCGAGGAAGTATTAGAAGTGCAACGACAGGGTCCGGGTGAGGACCATTCGGATACCATTGCCGCTATGAACAACCTGAGCGTGTCATATTTCCATGCTGGTCGATTCGAAGATGCCATTCCTCTAATGCAGAAAGCTGTTGAGTGGAATAGGAAGAAATTGGGGCCAGACCACCCGCAAACTCTTGCTGCATCGGGAAATTTGGACTACGCCTGTGAAAAGCTTGGGATGACTCGAGCTTCAATATTTTAATTGGCGTTGATATTCCATTTTTCCCCTGAGAATTGTGTTCAATAGTCGATTATCGTTAGATCTGGTCGTTTACGAGAAATGACAGCCATTATCGGCCTTTAAAGTAACGAACACGAGTGGATGACTTTGAATACGACTAGTAGACTCTAAAGTGGACCCAGATGTATTATTGTCTGGCTATTATACAGAAAAATATTGGGTTATATCACATGTTGTGTAAATATATATTGCAAATCGCTGATAGTGATTTGATCGTAATCACTTTGATGACTCGGCATTGGCCAAGTGATCAGTTCTAACTATATATTCATCGTCGGCTTCGGTGTCTCCAGCTGGTTTATTGGAAGCATTGAGAGCTTCGCCTATCGTTAGAGAGCCATCCGCCGTGATGTCGATACCGTCTGCTGGCCCTTCCTCAATTGCCTTTTCCCCGTCGGAAAGGGATGATTTTTTAGTATCAACAGTCTCGAATGTCTTACGCACTCGTTCAAAATGTTCAAGCTCTTTCGCACTGTTCGAGTAGTTAGCAATCACATAGGCTTAGACGGTATATAAAATAATAAATCATACCTAACGCTAGGAACAAGCTCATTTTTGGCTTCGAGGAAATCTTGCTCCGTGACCATTACGGCAGTATCTTCGGGAGTAGCGAGGTGATCAAAGAAGTACGCCGTTGTAACTGGTCCACTAGGGAGAGCCTTTATTCTTTCATCCACGGCATTGGCTTGCCGAGTAATTGCTTTAAGCATGGCATCCGAGCAGAGCGCATACAAGTCAGCACCAGTATAAGTGAACGGTAGAAGTTCTGAAACTCGCTTCAACGAAAGATCCGGATGCAAATTAAACTTGCGGGTCAGAGCTTCCAGGATGGTAAGCTGTTTATCATGCGTATCCGAAACACCAAGATAGAGCATCTTATCAAATCTGCCGGGTCGTAGCAAGGCAGCATCTAATAGATCAGGACGGTTGGTGGCACCAATAACAAAGACACCACCCCCGTTCTCATCACCACCACTCATACCATCAAGCTCTGCAAGAAGCTGGCTGACAATTCTGTCCATCACACCACCACTGTCTCCCTGATTGCCACGTTTGGGTGCCACAGAGTCAAGCTCGTCGAAGAAGACTACGCATGGTCGCGCATCTCGAGCGCGCTGAAAGACTCTGCGTACGTTCGCTTCAGACTCTCCAATGTACATGTTCAATAGCTCAGGACCTTTGACAGAGAAGAAGTTGAGAGAGAACTCCGTGGCAATTGCCTTTGCAAGCAATGTTTTTCCTGTCCCCGGAGGACCATAGAATAAGATACCACTTCGCTTTTTCATGCCCTTAGCAAAGAGCTCTGGTCGTTCAAGTGGAAGCTGGATAGTTTCCATGACGGCGTCCTTCACGTTGCTGAGTCCACCCACATCATCCCAAGTGACGTTCGGAATCTTTGGAGCTCCGATGGAATCGGCGAAATTTTTCCTCGCGGCATCCACAGCGGCATCAAAATCAGCCTTAGTGACAGATCGAGTAGCATCACCTCCAGCGATCTGAACGTCTCGGACACTAACTGTGGACTTTGCATCGAGGGGTGCAGCGGAGTCCGCGAGCTTCTCTAGTCGTAAAGTTCGTTCGGCCACAGCTCTTTCAACAACGTCAACTAAGTCTCCAGCAACGAGTGCGGCCGTTTTGACAGCCACCGAAGCCAAATCAACATTAGGCGATATCCGCAAGGCCAAATCAGCCACTGCGTTTCTAAGGATCCCTTCTCTCTCCTTTTCTTCTGGAGCTGTCATTTCAAGCTCATGCGTGAAGAGGCTTCGAATTCCTTCAGGAACCTTTTCCACGTCCGTGGTCGTGGCAATGATAACTCGAGAGCTAGCAACAATTTCTTTGAAAGATGTAACAATTCTATCCGCTGTTAACACTTCGATGTGCTCTATTAATAGAGCAGTGCAAGCAGAGCCACACGCAAACGCTCTATCTGCTCTCGCTTTCAGATATGCCTCTGTTTTCATATCTCCTCCATTCGCCCCTCCCTCACTGAGGATATCATAGGAATCGATGGTGAAAGTGTGAAGGCCTATATCGGCGCATGCTCGACGTGCGACTGTTGATTTACCGATGTTTCTCTGCGTAGATGTGAGAAGGATAACAACAGGTTTTAGTCCCAATTGAATGGCTCTCGGGCTCGTGGCGGCTGCTACCAACTCTCTCACACGCCTCTGAATGGGGGATATAAAAACTGCTGGAGAGTCGGTTTGTAGCCATGGAGTTGCTTTCTGGTCTACGCTCAGCTGTGGCGCCGCCTTGACGGAGAGCCAGTACTCCCATGTGTTCCTGAGCGTTCCAGGGATTGTGCCAATCTCACTTCCTGCTTGTACCATCCGGGTGTTGAGGGTATCAATAGCTGCTACTCCACCCCAGAGTTCATGATCTGGGCCACTGTCTGGTTCTGCACTTGTAGTAGGAGCTGTAACATGGCTAACACGGAACCAAGCCACACCAACCTTGCTGGAAGGGCTATGTTTACCTGATGAAAAGGCAAGCTGGGAAGGTAACTCATCTTCCTGGCCCGTAACATCTGCACTCTTGGTTGCAGAAAAAACTGTCCTTCCGAGTCCTTCATCGATACTGACTCCTATCATATCACCACCTTTTACCAACCGCCTTTTCGATTCGAAATGATGTTTCAGTGCAGAAAATATGGCTGGCTGAAGTGCTCTATCTACGGACAGAGGGGTAGATATTTTCAATAGAGTGACTTCTTTGGCTGTGGGTGGTGCTTTTGGCACACCAGTGCCACGCGAGGCTGCTAGTCCTAGTTTCGAAGGGCCGTGTTGAGCTGGACCGAGAGACAAGGGGGAAAGCTTCACGTAGCTGGGGCTCTGTAAGTTATGCAGTAGAAGTGGAGGTAAAAGAACAGTTGGTGTGAGGCCATGGGGAGGGACCTGCGAGATGCTAGATGATCTCTCTGCTGACTTGTTCATCGAATATCTTATTTTGGGGGGAGATAGGCCCGTAACACCGTAAACCCTTGCGACGCGCCAGTTCTCGGGTTCTTCGGTACTTCCCATTAAACCGTTAAGGCCGCTAAAAGCCAATGATGATAGCATATTTCGTTGAGGTTCCTCTGTGGGAGCCACACGAACCCAATCCCCAGAGAAACATCCTATCTTGACAAGGGTATGCACGTCAACAAAAATGAACGCGTCAGTGTCATCTTCTTCTCGGGGCTTTGGGTGGAGGAGCTCATTGGGTATGCGGTCAATGAGGCATTCGGCCTTGAATGTTTTACCGGCTTGTCTTCCCTGACGAGCAGTATTTGACGTAAAACTCGAAAATACAGAACCAGGGGAGTGTATGCCAAGGGACCTTCCACCGAGCCTTGGAGTGGCAGAGGAGAATGCTGACATTGCTCCGGATGTCTGCTGCGGTAGTTCTGGGGCAGCGAGGGAAATCATGTCTTCCAAGGAGTCATCTGAATCGTCTGAATCATCTGCGTCACTGTGGCTCTCGGTCGAAGCCTCAGTATCAGATTCATCTGGCGGCGATGGGCTCTCGCCATCAGTGCCTTCATCAGTGCCTTCTTCTAGCCCCTTTTCTTCCCCAGCGGAGTAGAATGTATCATTCAACGTATCTTCGGTATCAATTTCAGTGACCCGTTTGAGATGGGTAGTGCTAGCGGTAGACAACGACTTAGTGTGCTGTTTCCGTGCTGATCGCGCTTGTAATAGTATAATCTTGGTCTTTGGCATCAAACGTCCCTGAGCGACGGGCTCGCAGAACGTAATCATTGCTGGTGGGGGCGGGGCATGCGTAATCGGATGTGAAGGCAATGGAAGAGGTATTAGATCACCGCTATGCAATATATCTCGTTCAGCTAGCCCTCTGCGGATAGCTTCCATCAACCGCTCGTCTCTCTGTGCGGCAGACTGTTTTGCCCCTTTGGATACCGCACGATCATGAGACGAAGTCGACCCTTTTCCTTTGGGCCATAAGCCGTTGGATACACGCGACTTCCCGCTGAATCCTCCCCCAAATTTCCCTTGTATCTCATCAATATCCCGTAGCAAGTTTCGCTCCACGGTAACATATATGGTGTCCAAATGTAGCGGTGTGACATTGACAATGTGGATTTCAATTCCACGCTGGGCTAGCAGGAAGGAGGATCGCGAGGGATCGCTGCCCTGTAACGCTTGAATGAAAGGTTGGATTGAGTTGGCGGCGACGGGGAAGTGAATGGCAGAGCTGGAGATGAAGGAAGCTTTCGTTTTTTCGCTGGCCTGAGTGCGAACTGGAACAATAGTCCACTGAACGTCTTCAACAGTCGTAAGGTTAGGCATCCAAGGTGCTAGGGCAACGTAAATTATCTCAGAATGGGCTTCTGCATCTAGCTCAGAGTGTATGTCAGCGGCATGCTCTCTCCGGGGTTAGTTTAAGGGTATCTGAAGAATCTCACCATGAGAACCCTGACGGGGAAACAAGTCTGCTAGCAGCTCATCCGAAAGAATCCCGACTTCGCCCTTTAGACGAATATCAAGCATCAGCCGGGAAGAGATAGGTCCCTTGTTGGTTTTCCGTTGGCGTAGAGCTCCCTTCCGGCGGCGATGCTGGTGGTCGTCCGCCGCGACCAGAGGACCATTTGAAGCCATGACGATTCCAATTAAGCCACAATTGCCGGCCTAGTCGACCTCCATGTAAAGGACAGCTGTACTCTGTTAGCGGAGTGGGAAAGGCGAAGGGAGATGCTAAGACTGAGCGTGGTGGTCGTGGTGAATTTGTTGTTGTTCAGGTAGTTATTTGTTCACGTTGGAGCCCGCAAGCAAAAAGCTCGTCGAGATGCCGAGGTACAATCTGGGGAAGCGCCAGCCGACGCCGGCGCGTTAAACACACTCCGACTAGTAAGTTTGGCACATGTATGTACTACTGTACGGGAATGGCAGTAGTACTCCGTACAGATTGATAATTTTATAGTCATACTCATGAAGTGGAATTAATACTGATATATAAAAAGGCCCTGGTAAAGGTTCCCCCATTGAGCACCACGGAGATTAGGCGAAGTATAGCTAGAACAACAGGGCGTCCATTGTTATTTTTTCAGTCTCTCAGGGAGTTCATTGACAGTTTCCGTGGACTCGGGCTCAGTCTCGAGCTCTGCCTGTGGAGGGTCACAAAGCCATTTCAGAACATCAAAGCCTACATTTTTGTCGTAGTTTGCGTTATTGAGAATGTATTTGGCTCTTAGATTCACGTTAAGTGTTGGATGCTTTTCCGACGGCTTGATGGTTGCTTGGATGATACGTACTTTACCGCATATAAACGTCACCATGGTAGCCTTGGTTAGAGCGCTATCAGATACGGTGTTTTATAAAATAATGAATTAAACATACTGTCAATAAGCCGCCCTTGTATCTCGGCTTGCCTTTATATCGGCCTTTGTCAGATAGCCAAACCATTTCATTCATCTGGTGATAGAAGATTGATGTGGCTGCCATTAATTCACTCTTTAGGATATAATGACAACGATCCGCTTTCTGTGTCATATCGCGTGTACATGTATGATCCCGAATGATGATAGTCCCGTGGTTCTGATGAGGGCAGAGGACCTTGATGCCCTGGGTGTAACGGACCCTTTCACAATATAGCTAGTCAAATAAGGACCATAAAGCCTAGTACAACGTCGGTAAAGTAATGAATGTTGAGTGCAGATAAGACCTCCTACTTTCGAGTCGTTATGTGCACTCTTTCGAGTACCTGGAGGACGGCGGTTTGCATGAGGCCGGCAAACCCCCAGTCAGTCGGAAAGCCCGGGAATATCCCTGGTTTTGTGACTCTCTCACACGTGTGAATAGCGCTTAGGAGTTCTGGGGGGTGTTGTGAACTGAACTTTTTGTCCAGTGGTATCCTGGCACTGCACATGGATATTCGGCGTCTTCTCCAGCCAGTCAAACTTGAAGGAGTGTTCTGTGTAGGACATATACGCTAGAAACATACGCCCCATAGCCAAAGCGACCTCCTCGGGCTGGTCGAATGACACTACATCAGATGGCATATGGTGTGTCTGTCTGTGTGTCAGAGTCGATATGTTTGATGATCCAGAGTGATGAACTACAAGATGTAAAGTGTAGAAAACCCCAGACTCAAACATACTGAGTTAGACTTTTGGATTAGGTAATTAGCTTTTCACCAGGCAGCAAAGCGAACTAGTGAACTTAGTTAGTCAGCTCCCGCGGCTGTCAGGTCCTGCACCTTAATATCTACAACTCCTCCTCCTGTCGCTGCTGCCTCTGCCTTCTCCCCTTCTTTCGAGTGTCAAGTATACAGCTTCAACCTGCTGGCCACTCGCCAGTAGAGGCTTACTCTTTTGGCTCAGCCGTTTTGACAGAGTGGTGTCGCCTGTGATATACCCCAAAGGCGAACTTTGACCTCAGAATGGCGGCTCACGGCCTCAACCAGGTCCCAGCCAACGTAGTAGAGTGGCGAGACGCAATATACAGGCATGGCCTTCAACGGCGGACTCTCGAGCAGCTGTGGATGGAAGGTAGCGGCTCTCGTTCTTGCAGCTCGTTCTAGTAGCTAGTGCATACCCTGACTAACGTTGGTGCTGAATAGGGAGTTTCTCTGCCTCGACGCCCCGAAAGAAGCACTCCTGAGCCTCAGACCCATCTGGCCAAAAAAGAAATGCCCCGAGTATGCTGTGGCTTATATTACAGAACTAGATCATTTCTTTAATGAAGACCACATCAATGATGCGATAAAATTTATGGAAGGAAACCTACTCGGACTTCACATGCTCCAGACGCTATGTCGACATATATGTGTTCCAGAGGACGCGCTCACCATTACCCTGCCCAAGTACTCCGGTACCCTTGCTGGGGAGCTCGGCCCATTCAGTATGCTCACTAATTTGTTCAACCAGCTGGAGGATAGATCGATCCAGGCTTCGATTGAAGAACGTCGGACGCTTGGGCTCGATTCTATGACGCCATGCAGCACGCAGCACGCGCAGACCCAGAAAGTCCAACGCATCAGGCTTTTGAAGAGGCCAACACGGAGGATATCGAAATGGTAAATATCGAGGATTAGTCGACCACCGATTTCCCCCCTCCTACGAGTTCCATGACGGCGCCAGGACAAGAGGAACCTCCTCGTCAAGCCCCCACAGAAACACTTGTAGCGGACTTTATAGTTACGCTTCTTGGTGGTTTAGCAAGCCTTGTGCAGGGCGGGCCTTGCTTCTAAGCCCCCCTCTGTATGGCCAATTCCTTTGAGACCACTTTTCAATTTGGGCCTCCTAGTCATCCAACTTCCCAACAACACAGCAGTATGCAATTCCGAGCTCGTGTAGATGGAAGTATCCTATTCAGCCTATCTGTTGCTGGCATGCCGCGTGAAGCTGCGATATTTGAAGTTAAACGTGCTCCCCGTAAAGGGAAAGACAGCGTCCCTATCCTAGCGCAGCAAGCGATGGAGCATGCTGTATACATCTGGAAATGCCATACACGCGACGAAATGGTGATACTCCCCAATCATTCGTGTACTCTTATTCTAACACGTGCAATTCTTACTGACGAGGCTGTAGTGGACAAAAAGAGTCAGGCTTATCATACCATTATGGTGGCTCAAGACCACCTAGGTTTCCATATTATCATTGGGACTTACAATAACACATATCTAGAATACATTTTCGGGCCAGGATCCCAGTCGGTCCTTCCGGCACGAGGCACCAACAAGTTCCCGTTCCTCCAGATACAAGAACTGGGGCCATTTAATATCAAAATGGAGGACCATCTTCGTAACTTTTTACGTATTATGCTTGCATTTATTCTCTGGCAACTTGAAAAATCAGGTGACGATGCTATGTTCAAAGAGGCATTTGGCTGAAGGGTATCAATGACCTAATCTCGATGTGTGCATGCTGGTACCTAGCTTGGCACCTCCCCCGAGAGAATTTCGCGTACAGTCTGGTGTAGAGATGGATCTCTGCGGGGTAGTCTTCTCTTTTTCTTGTACACATGAGAGGGCGCTTGAGAGCATTCCATTTAGAGAATTCTGATTCTCCTTTCTTAAACTGGATATTATGTTGGGCATCAAGTTCCAAGTCAAATTGTCTAGTGCGGGAACCATGGCAAACGTACTCTGCCCCGGGTACGCTACACAACAGGCCAAATCCTCGAGTGTGACTCACCAGCCATGGGAGAATTGCTTTTGCTGGGGGACAGAACCTTCGTGAAAGGGCGAACCCACGTCGCTCACTTTTTGAGCCGCAAAAAAAGTTGGATTGGGAGACGGAGGGATCGGAGTTTACAACTGTCCGACCCCCTGACAAGGGTTACGCAGTGACTGCCGCCCAGGTGCTGTCTCAAAGTGCATCCCGCCCACGGACGAGCGAGACGTTGGTTGGCCGAAGGGGGAAGCGCAGCTGGTTTCCCGGGCCAACGAGACCTCAAGAAACTGGCGAAGGATGCAAGTTCTTTTGCAACATGAAGCAGCGAAGGAGAGAACTGGCCTCTTCGAGTTGGCGGAGATAACGAGTTGGTTCTCCACCGTCTGCGAATCCTGGTCTTAATAAGCTTACTCCGTAATACTGCTAGTGCGTGTTATTTCAGTCCGCGCTGCTAGGCTGGATGAGGCTACCACTGCGGTGCGTGGCTGTGTCAGTAACACCGAGCAGTGCCTGCCTGCCCCGAGTCTCGCCAACCTTCTCCTCACTCGACACAGCTGCCAACCGCCATCCTCCTCATCTCCACGGGCAGCGTCCTTCACTCGCCAACACAGCAATCTGCCATCTCTCTTCCCTCGTCTTCGCCCTTTTCCTTCTTCCTTTTATATCGAGTTGACGTCAAAGAAAAGCAGGAGAAGATCTTACTAAGCAACCTTCCCGGAGCCGCAGCGCCGAGACGCCGAAAGAGAGTTTGAGGAAGGAAGGACCCACTTTTCCCATCAGGCAACCGCCAAAACCGAATAACACGCGAGGGAAACTCTCTTTCTTCTTCTTATCTTCCGCCTTCTCGCCCTTCGACTTTCTCCCTCGACCTTCAACAACAACAACTCCACCAGCACCAACAGCTTTACACTCCAGAGCAGACAGAAGAGAGTCTACCTGACGCTCCCTGGCATTACTGTGTCCTTGTCTCCGCTGGGCTCCTCGAGTAACAAGGCTTCCTCGCTTGGCCGCTGATCTACTTGGGTTTAGTCTCGACGGTCCGCTAGGCAGCAGCCATCTCACGTCAACAGGAGGCGACGCTCTCCTAGGTTGCTCTGCCTGGGCACTGTCAACCAGCTAAGACAGCTTGATCTCCAGGCCTCTCTGGCATCTACTGCTAGTCGATTCCTTGACCTCGACCTCGCTCTCGCTCTCGAGTTTTGTCTCGCTGTCATACTCGACTGTTTGCTGCCTGGAAACAGTAGCAGACTCTCTCTGTATAGACTCTGGACTCTCATTGAATGCTGTGTAAGTGTGGCACTCGGAAGACATGGATACCATTGAACCGCTTGACTAACATGCTTCGACAGTCAAAGTCAGTGCCGCTTTCGTGGAAGAAGAGGACCAGTTAGAACTGCTGCGAGATCTCGGTCTATAAAAGTCTCAAGACAGCCCTCCTCCCCACGGCCAAGCAAGAAAACAGTCCAACCTTGTCCTGGTCTCCGAAAGATTAAAGAGGTGAGTCATATGAAGCTATTCCCTTCAAGTTGTCCGCCGTTGCTTATTGGGGTCTGTCTGCAGATTTTGTGACTTGCCCTCTACAAAAGTCACTCAGTATGTCCTCCGATCTCAGCATAAGTCCGCGTCGTCGACCGTTTTTGAATGCCAACCTTCCTCGTCTCTCCACCGGCCATTGTGATGGACGCTCCCCCAGCAACTCTTCAAATACAGTTCGCCATGCCACCCTGAGGAAGGAAGCTACATTTCATGTCTCTGCCTCCCCCTCGTCCCCAGGGGACCCCGTCCTCCACTTGCCAACCCTGCTTCGTCGTTCTCCAACTAGCCCAGATACTCTCCAGGAACTCTCTGCTGCTAGGGAAAACCGCGTTGCAGGCTGGCTCGGCAGCATTGAGCGCAACTCAACTGGTCCCGGGAACAAGTCACTGTCCAAGCAGAGCTCGCTCGAGGATGTGAACAGCAGCCTCAAGGCTCCACGAGGTCTCAACACTCGCCTCACCTCTGCTAACCTAATGGAAATCGACTCTTCATTTAGGAATTCAACCGAATCTGGCTTCCCTGGAAAGGAGAACATCCGTACAGAGCTCTCTGACAGCGGTGTTGGTTCTTCCATCGGCGAAGGTTCGTTCCAATTCCATATCTTACATATATCTCCGGATTTTGCTGCTTTGTTAAATACTAACTATCTTGCAGACGTTTTAAACCGAGAGAGAGCTGGAGCTGTCGAGGTCAGCACTCGTGAGTCAGTGGCTTCCTCTAGAACCAAGCTCAGCACTGGGGCCAAGCGCCATATTCAGCGTCACGTTCTTCTCCCACTGCTCAAGGAACAGCGTTTGAAAACCTTCCATTCTCTTGTAAGATCTGTACCACAGCGTATTCAGAGTAGCGAGATTACCTGTCTTCGAGACGTTGAGAAAACCTTGCTCTACTTGGCTCCTCATCACACCGTCTCCAGATCATCATATTTGAGCTTCTGCGAGTTCACCATCCAGTGTGTGCACACAACCGTTGGATATCTCAACGACCACGACCAACGCCGTCCAGCAGACCGCCCCTACACTAACGGATACTTCCTTGACCTTGTTGAACAGGTTCGCCAGTACGCGGTCTTGATCAGAACTGCCCGGGAAAGACGTGCTGCGTCCCCCAACCGTGACGATCTTGGCTATTCTTCGTATGTATCCTGGCTACTCTCTTTCCTCATATCTTGTGCTTATTCTTTTATAGTGGTGAGGAACTCGTTCTTGAGGGCGGCCTTGCAAGTACCGGTCGGCCTGCCGAACTTGTGAGAAAGAAGAAAGGACAAGCTATCTCCTTGAAGACTGGAGAACCTTTTGTTGAACAAAAGCCAGTTGTTCCAAGCTTGAAGCGCGCTCCCAGTATGGAGAACCAAGAAAGTGTTATGCGTTCCATGGCGCGACGCAAGAAGGACGCCCCGCCAATGAATATCAACGAGAAATGCAAGCACTGTGATAAGGTCTTCCGCCGCCCTTGTGATCTAACGTAAGCCACCTTCACTTATCCTTAGTGCTATCTGTTGTTTATAGCGACTAACCATACAATAGCAAACACGAGAAAGTGCACACTCGGCCATGGAAGTGTCTTGATACCAAATGCAAATATCATCAGCTCGGATGGCCAACTGAAAAAGAGAGAGACCGTCACATGAATGACAGGCATTCCAAGTCCCCAAAGAAGTTCAAATGCCTCTACCCCGGGTGTACTTATGACACCAAGCGCCAGAGTAACTGTAAACAGCACATGGAAAAGCTCCATGGCTACAAATATGTCCGATCCAAGAATAATGGCAGGTCAAGCCACCAACTTTCTCCACAGCCAACACCAGCTACAACCAACATGAACAGCCCACAAGCACCGTCAGTCGACATTCCTACACCCATCAGTGCGCAGGCCATGTCTCCATACATGTCCCCATATGAACAACAGTCCATCCCTTTTGAGAAACCCGCTTCCCACGGGTCTCCAAGCATGAGCACTCGGAGCTCTGTCGGATATGCTCCTAGCCCCGGCGTGTATCCAGGCCCAAGCCCTAGTATTTGTTCGCCTAGTGAAATGGGACAACAGAATACTACTAATGATGACTTCATGCTCTTCCCCGAGTCTACATCATTGAACGAGTACAACAGTATTCATGATGACTTCAATGCCTTCTATGCCGACCTTCAGGCCGGAGATCCATGTGATACTCTACCACAGCTTGACATGAATCTCCCTTCTGTGTCCTCTACTCCTGCCGGTAATCTTGCTACTGGGTTCCATGCTCAGTCTCCACCAGACCTAATTGGAAGCAATGCAGATCTAGACTTCCACTTCGACGTCACTGAGAACGAATACACCTCCATGAACCTTCAGCTTCTCAGCCCGGCACAGTCTGTTGAGGCACAGGCTATGAATTGCCTCTCTGAGCCCGAGAATCTTTCTCTCCCACTCCCTGCCTTAGACAAGAACTCTAGCATCTCCCCAGCCGGACACGGTAATGTTATGTTGTACTCTCCCGCCTCATATGAAAGTGATGAGGGCTTTGATGACGGCTTCGACTACATGAAAATGGACATGGGCAAGCAAACTAGTGACTTCACTCTCTTCAGTGGATCCGAGGGCAACAATATGTGTTCCACCGGGCTTGATAGCAATGACTCTGAGGGCTGGAGCATTTCCAGCATGTTCCCTCCTCTCGGCACCCTCAACGACCAGTTGAATAACGCCGACTGGCCTCAGCAGCTGGGCTCTAGAGAGATGGACATTGACTCGATCATGGAAATTGATGATATCTAAAACAAGAGACATATACATTCCATGTTGTCTCGCCTGATCTATACTCGTCTTTCGAGAACTATCTTTATCTTTTTCTTATCTGGATGTGATATTCGATGCCTTCCCCACTCACACTTTAGCTAAGCCAGCACTTGACTTGTTTTTTTTCCCGATTTTAATGACATCTTGTATCTCCCCTCCATGTATGCAGTTTTCTTCCCCCTATGTTTCTTATTCCACTCCCCTATCTTCCCCCTTTGGTCTATTGAATACGGATCTTTGCGATTGGATTCCTGCCACACGAAAGTATGGCTTGAGGGATCGGTGGTTGGTGGCTGGGTAGAGTGGATGATCAGTTTAATGTTGCTGTTGGTTTTTTCTAGGTTCCTGTTTTGACCCTAAAAAGAACAATATATATACGAATCAATCAAGACATTTCTTCACTCGGAATACTTTGCTGTATTTCTTGGAACAAGTTGCGGTTAGCTGTAGGTAGTAGTTAAATAGGTAGAGAATAACATCATAACATCAAGAAGAGCCATCCATTTTACATAACTACATGTATACATAAACAGTTTCACTACCTCTCACGTAAAAGCCGTATATATATAACAGGCTCTCCGTTTCAACCCCAATCCCTCTTCTCTTCATCTATCAAGTCAACAAACATCGATCCCATGCACGGGAATAAGCACCCACCCACTCACCAATCCACTCTTCCTCCGATCCCGATGTGGTGTGATTCGTTTATTATAGAGTTGTGAGATGTAATAAAACAATATCGAAAAAGATATGTAGTAACCAGTAGCAGACGAATCACTTGCATCAATCAAAACAAAAAAAGAGTCGTATCAAGACCAAAGGGGAAAGAGTAGTGTGCGTTAGTTATACGAGACAAGAGAGAGGATAAATCATAGCATAAAAAGACCAAGATAAGGAGAGGTAAGATAAAACAGAGGGATAGATAATTTACAAAACCTCGCCCACGATCTTCGCGGCCTCTTTGTAGGTTTCTAGTAGCTTCTCGCACTTCTCGCGTTCAGCCTTGATGCCGTCGTCTTCGTAAAGGAGTTCAGGGAATAGATCTTCTCGGTAAAGTTCGCTAACTAGGCGGTTTTGAACCACTTCTTTGCTGTGGTTGACCAGAAGGTGCATGATGGCTTTGGGGACTTGGTCTGCTATCGTTTCGCGGACGATGTTGAAGTAGGATGAAATCAAGCGGCGGATGAGCTCCGTCTCAAGGGCCTCACGGTCTGTCAAAACTGGCTCGCCATTGTCATTCTGTTTGACGTTAGTATTGTAGGTATTTTATAAAGTGAAGGGAACTTACGGTTAATGACATATCACCGTACTCAGTTGGAGCGTATTCTTCCTGTTGGGTGGGGAATTGGGGGATAGATGGGGACCGGATCTCGTTTCGGCGGAAGCTCTGGCTGAAACTAGGCTCCATTGCATGGCTGACGTGGCGTGAGAGGCCGGAAGATGTTGGGGGAGGAGTAGAGCCTGGCAAGCCATCTTTGCCAAAGAAGTAGTTCAAGAACGAATCTTTGGCATTTCCGTGCTGGCTTCCTAATCGTGGAGGCGAAGCTGACTGGAGGCCATTGAGAGCAGAGGATATGGATTCAGAGTTGCGTCCGGTATGTGGTGACCCGGTTCTGGCTACTTTCGAGGAATGCCCTCTGACTGGAAGAGTCTGTGGTTTCTCCTCTGCATTATCCTCTTCATCAGGGGTAGCAACTCCATTCGCAGCTCCAAGCTCTTTCAACCGCCGTCGGTCCCTCTTTTTCTTCTCTTCAGCAAGGGCAGCCTGTTTCTCTTTCTCCTGCTTACTTTGAATGACGGATGACATGGCGGCGGCGGCACCAAGGAAGTTAGGGTGGTTGGTATTGATGTATGCACGTTGGATTGAAATAAGAGATTCAACATAGTTTGAGCATGGGCCCAGGCGCTCCCTGAGAAGGTCGGACACAACCTCGATCAGTTTCGCCTGCAGCCTTGGGAATCGGGAAAGTTCGGTCGAACCACAAGTATGACATATTTTAATAAGTTCTTCGTAAACTAGCTCAACACAGCGTTGGCTGGGTATCTCAAGGAGTTTTATCTGAGGCTTCACAAGCAGATCGAAGGCAAGTTCTGGAACGAAAAGACTGGGTCGAGGTCCAGTTGAGTTGCGGATAGCGGTTCTAATATCTAGGACGGACAAGTTGTGGGTGGGGTCGATTGTCTCTAGGGAATTTCCAAACACAGAATTAAAGATATAGTAAATTCTTGCTCCACCGCATAATTCCTTTGTCGATATCTCGGAGGAGGTTCCGTCAATGGAGGATATAAAGGAGGAGGCAAACCGTGTCATAAGTTGGAGTATTAGCGACCCGCGGTGTTCTCTTCCGCTGAATTGCTTGTTTCCATAGCTGGCCAGTTCCTGCTGGGTTTGGCCCATCAGTGTATTTAGACGGGCCTTGATATCGGGCAGACGGTCACGGATGTGTGACATGAGAGTGGAATTCAAGCTCTTAGCAAGGAACTGAGTACCGCACCGGTTCGCCATGTTGCGGTAGGCCGGATGATGCCTGAAGAACTCAGCTTCAGATTTCAATGCCTCTGCCAAAGATTTACCGCCCTGGATGTCCTGTTGAGAGCGGTTAACCACACCAATGAAACCTAGTTTCAATGGATAGACACGGCCGGTAAGGATATCCATTGCGTTGGTTCCATGGTCCATAAGGTCCAGCTTGGTGAGTACACCGATCGTTCGCTTGCCAACGGGATCAACATGGCGAGCAAGCTTTAAAGCCTCAGAGTTGACAATGTCCACGTTTGCAGGAGACACGGCGAGTATAATACTGTTTGGCTTCGCAATATATTCCGAGATCAGGGTCCGCGTCTGCTTTTCGATATCGGAAGGCTGGTCACCGATCGGGACCTTGGTCAAACCAGGAAGATCCACGAGAGTCAAATTAAGCACATGTGGAGAGAAGATCTTCAGGTTTATCGGCTGGCGATTAATTCCCTTGTTATTTCCCGCTATCCTCGCGGTTTCATTCTCAATCTCTTGTTTTATATGCGCGAAATCCGTATATTTCCGGCCAGGCTGGTGGTGGAATTCTCCCCATTCTCCGTGCTGCTGGACACTGCCGGCGGTATGTGGTTCATGTTCATCATCACTGTCGTCAGAGGGAACATTGATGAGCTGGAGGATCAGAGGCCGCCTAGTAACAATGCCGCTTCCTCTCGGCAGGAAGTCTCGTCCAACGATATTTTCAAGTACTGAGGATTTTCCAGATGATTGCGAGCCGACAACTACCTATACAGCAGAAAGTAACCCAGAAAAGGTTACCAAGTCAGCCAGCATTCTTCTCGTCTGTACTCTATAAAAACGAAGGGAAACATTCGGCCGCAGTTTTAGCTTGGGCTAAACCCGTAGTCCGGCATTATCCCTATGTATTATTCAGGCACACGTACAATCTGTGGCAAATCCAAAGAATCGTTCCCAATGGTATTGAACACCAGGTCCTGGAGCTTGTTGACAGTGACAAGCAAGTCGTCGCCCAGGGAAGTCATCTTGATGAGCTCTTCCGCTTAGCCAGGCTATAGTGTGAAAGCACTGTTATTGACGTTGCCGGGTAACGCAAGGGGCGTCCGGGAAACAGTTAGGAGGGCAAAACAAAGCTGGCGGCCGCCAACGTCTCCGGCATAGAGGGAAGGGTAGGACAGAGAAGGAGTAAAGACGAGGAGAACGGCCGGAAGCTGGAGGCGTCCGTCAAGAAGAGCGCAGGGCGAAGTGGTTGCTAGCTTCAGCTGAAGAAGAAGTGTTGATGCTTCTTCGTCGACTTTTTGTTTCGCGATGGCGGCGTCGTTTTTGCCTTTTTTTTTGCTTGTTTTACTTTAGGCTTTTTGCATGCGGAGACTCTTTCCTCCGAGCCGAGGCACGTGAGGGCGATAAAGAGAGCATGCGCAATCGACATCGGCATCTATAAACAAGACGCAAGGGGGGTGTAGATAGAGACGGCGTTGGAAGAAGTGGAAGAATAATACGGCTCTAGTGGCTTTTGCATTTACAGGAACTAATTTAGTGGACAAGAAAGTGGAAGAAAAACAGGCAAACCAGGCAGGCAACGGGCGCTGCACAAAAACAGTTATAGACGAAGGAGCCCTCCCATTGAGCAGCGGGTGATGGTATGTACGTCGAAGAAGATGATACTGCTGTTTAGCTGTCGAGCTGGACGTAGTTTGCTGGGAATAAGCCGACTTTACCCTGGTACTCGCCTGTCCACCAGTCCTCATCAGGGAATTCCTACAAGAACCCGTTAGAAAGGGGCAGAGGTCTAAAAGGGGATACGGATACAAAAGACTTACGATATTGGTGATTTTGGCGTCTTCCGGGAAGCTAAGCTCGTTATCTTCAGCTGCCTCGTAGTCGTACAGAGCAGTGGCAGTGTGCTGCTCAGCGGCAGCGGCAGGTGGGGCAGCTGGTTCTTCGCGGGCGGGCTGAGCGGGTGCTGGGGGAGCGGCTTCAGCGGCGCCTTGACCCTCGACGAGCTCAACATAGTTTCTGGGGAAGAGGCCTGCCTCGCCGCTGGAGTTGACGCCGAGCCACCAATCCTCGTCGACCATATCAATGTTGGTGATGCGTTCACCCTCTCGCAACTCGATCTCGTTGTCCTCGGCCTTTTCGTAGTCATACTGCGCGATGGCCTGGATATCGCTACCAGCCACTGGCGCTGCTGTGTAAGTCTGCTCTTCCTCCTTTGGTGGCTCAGGCACTTCTTCGTGCACAGCTTGATGCTGCACAAAATCTGGTGCTGGCGGCTGCTCCGGTGCAGCAGGATGGTCATCGTGTGCTGCTCCACGGCCAACAGGCATTGCTACCCGGATAGGTGAACCGGGAGCTTCCTCCTGCTCCTCCTCCTCTGGTTCAACGGGTGCCGGAGGTGGAGGTGGGACCGCACGCTGAGTTTCCTCGTGTGCTGGTTCAGGGGCAGTGGGTGGTTGAGAAAGACCAGGAATGGGCACACCACGGCTAGCAGTCGGTTTGTTGCTAGTATCAAGTGGAGGTGGGGAGGGAGCAGCTCGTTCATAGGTTGCGACACCAATGGGGGCAGCGTGGGCAAATCGGTCCCGAATAGAGCCAACGTTGCCGGTCTGGGGCTCCTCTTGCTGGTCTTCGTGCTTCTCTTGTTCAGTAGCGTCATGAGCCTCTGCATGACCAACGGATGCACCAGTGCTTGTTGTCTGAACGGGAGCCCATGACTTTCCGGTGTACGAACTCTTCCATCCTGTTTCCTGGCCCTTTTGGGTATCCTTTGGCTGTGCTTCCGAAGCGTGGGGCGGGTTAACAGTACCGCCGCCTTGTTTGGCTTTCTTCTCGGCCCAAAGCTGGGCTGGAGTTTTACCTCCCTGATCGGCAAAGGTTCGACTGGCAGTTCCAACTGGAGCTGCAGCCGCTGGGGCCTTGGCCTCAAAACCGCCAGGTAGCGGAGCTTTTGTTCCAGTGAAAGAGGCTGCGGCTCCAAATTTAGCAGCAACCTTTGGTTTTGGGAGACTCGTCAGCCTTTCTGAAGCAGTGAAGGCCGCCGAGCGCTCAGAGAGCGATTTTGGCTGTTCATCGTTACCAGCAGAGCCTCCGGTGGCTGCGGGTGAGATTGAGCTTGGGGTGGTACCGGATTCACCTTTCGCCTTAGCACGGATGGCAGCGATATCCACCTTTCCAACAGGTTGATAGGCTCCCTTGACTACATCTGGGCGGTCATTGATGTTCTGCCCGGATTCCTTCGCCTGTCTTCTGATAGCTGCAATATCGACCTTGCCAATTGGCTGGTATCCACCCTTGACTACGTTACTCGGTGCCTCTCGCTCTACAGCAGGGCCTGAGGTAGTAGATGTCTTTTGCGAAGCAAGCTCTTTCATATTAACCCTGGTAGGCTTGTATGCCGATTCAACTTTCTCGAGTTGTGTCCTGGTAACTGGGGGTGCATCCGCTCCCCAGCCATCCTCGTCAACTGGCTCATTCTTTGAGTGACCAGGCAAGTTACCTCGTACGGTAGGTTTGAACGAGCCAGCGGTACGGGTAGGGTTAAAGGCTGGCTTTGCGGCCACTGGTGGTTTCGTGGAAGCTGGCGGTGGAACAGAGGCATCCCCGGAGTATTTAGCACCTGATGCATCGGCTACCTTCTGGATGATACTCTCGGGAGTGAGGTCGCGGTCAGATCGAGCAGTAACTTGAACATGGTATCCCTAAACAAGAGTTTTAGAAATGAAGGGCCAGCTTTCCTTGAACTTATGAGGCAGTCCCGCACGTACCTGCAAGAATTTGGCGACGGCAGCAAGGTGGCTGGTGAAGTAGCCCTTGGTTCGCTCTGGGACTCCCTCTCCGCACCACGCTATCAGGACATGCTTTGGTAGGCTGGTGTTCGGGTCTTTCACTTTGACGAAGCCGAATTGTATTTTTCCCTCTGAGAAGTCCTCGATCAGGTCTACTAGTTCGCCCTCTATAAAAGCCATATTAGCCGAGTCCGCATGGAATCCCCGTGAATTACTATAGCAAAACAAGACATACCTCCCGTGCTTTGGACCTTCAGTACACTCTCCTTCTGAGCACCGCCTTGTTGGAATGCGTTTACTAGAGGAGTTGTAACTGAGAACAAGGCCCACGATCCATATGTTGGAGAAGCTGCGGCAGGCCCGGTTGGGGCTGGAGCGTTCACCACCGACTGGTAGCTTTTTGTTATGGACGGCCCATTGGTCGAGAGATTGAGAGATGCCATAATGCAATATCGCGCAAGAGAGAGAAAGATTGGTAGGGATAGGTCTATTGTAAAGTGGCCACTGGAGGTGGAGGGTTGGGGTTGGGCCTTTGTGGTGAATGTTCCCAGCTGAGAGTCAAAGAGTGAAGCCCGTGGGAATCGACAAAGGTAGCAATGAAGAATACCACTGTTTTATAAGATAAAGAACAATAAAAAGCAGCCTGCAGGGCCTAAACAACGGTAAAGATGGAAGAATGACGGTGTTTTGTCCAGTGATTGTTGACTGGCGGCGTACTGAGAGCGATAAGAACCAGATACGCAAACCCAAGCAAAAGGCGGCGCGGGAAGGTGTGGCGCAGCCGCAAAGGCGCAGGCAGCCTCGGAGTCGCAACTATCTAAACAGCACAGAAGCACAGCACTACATAGCACCGGCATGGGCATACTCCGTACGAAATTCGGCGGTATAGATCATAGATTTCTGCTTCGCCTACGCAAATATGCCGAGTCCCAATCTACAACCATTATCGTATACTCTCAGTTTTTGTAGATTATCAGCCATTGTATTAGGTTTGAGTAATTCCTACAGGCTTGCCCATTTCCCCCCATCTAGAAGTATCATATCGAGTCTTCAGGGCATCTGTGAGCTCCAAATACCTCCGATACCAATGCCTTCTTGTTATTATTTAGATTCAGACACTCGAAGATAGACGGAGACAACGATAACCCTTATCCGATGATCTTATCACCACGTGTTACGGATAAACCAAAGTCCCGGGACACCCAAAGTTTAATCAGCGAAATCTTGGCATCAAAATTCAAAATTTCGAGGAAGCTTTTGGTAGAAAAAAAAGGTGCTTTTACAAGAACAAGACCTATCACTTCGACTGCACATAAAACGGCTTGCATTCCAGCGATCTTAACTAAATTTTACAGGCACAATGCTGCGGGAAGTGTATGTATAGCCAATCTCACATTACTACCAAGGTCTTATCAAGAAGTTGAATACTAATATCCGTCAGGGTACCACGAAATGCCCGTACACGGCGCATTCTCAAAGCCAGAGAACCGCAAGTGATTGAGACCCCAAAGCAAACGCTCCTACTACACGGCCCAAAATGCCCTTTGCCACTCCATACTGTGCTAAAGACTTTCCACTCGCTCACAAAACCTCACTCTGTACTCTTCCACAAAAAGAACGAGAACATTCACCCTTTCGAGAACACGGAGAGTCTTGAGTTCCTGGCGACAAAGAACGAATGCGGTATCGCTATTTACGGCAGCAGCAACAAGAAGCGGCCAAACTGTATCACCATCCTACGTATATATGATTCCAAGGTGCTCGACATGTGCGAACTGTTACTGCTAGGAACCCAAGCTGAGATGGAAGCTGAGGCTGCTGCTGCGGAAAGGAATGCCAAATCCGCCTTCCGGCTAAATGTCGGTGTGGGTATGAAGCCTATGATGCTTTTCTCAGGAACAGTATGGGCCGACGAGACGTCTGGGGTCTTCAAGATGCTCAAGAGCATGTTTTTGGATATTTTCAAGGGTGAAGAGACGGATAAGATAGACGTTGAAGGGCTACAGTATATTCTTATGATTGCTGCAGAGGAACCTCAAGAAAGCGGACTTGCCGCTACCAACAGCTCCTTGCCAGCCATCCATTTACGGTGGTACAAGATCCGAACCAGGAGGAGCGGGCATAAACTACCGCGTGTGGAGTTGGAAGAAGTTGGACCAAAGTTCGATTTCAGAATCGGTAGAGTTAGAGAAGCTGACGAGGACACAATGAAGACTGCGATGAAACAAGGGAAGCGGCCTCAGGATATGGAGAAGACGAAGAAGAATATCGGTATGGACAGTATTGGTGATAAGATTGGACGAGTACATCTTGGTCGTCAGGACTTGAGCGACTTGCAGACTAGGAAGATGAAGGGCCTTAAGCGACGGGCTGGTATAGATGATGAGGATGAGGATGCAGAGATGGGAGGTATGGAAGTGGACGAGGTTTCAGAAGATGAGGATTTCAGCCACAAACGATCGAAGACAGAGTAGCTTGTCTGAGCGTGTTGTTTCGAGAGATGGAGAAAAAAGTTATGCTGGCTGCTTTGTGTAAACTTATTCATTAGCATGGCGTTATGTTAGGTTGGGCTTCGACAGAACAGGTAGTGATACACGTGCTTTAGGTCGCCGGGTTCTTTTTTATTATGGCAAGAATACGTAGTATACAGGAGTCAAATTAAGCTATTAAGCATTATGTATATTTCGGGCCGCAAAGGTATCCGTGCAGGAGTTGAAACGGCCATCAAAAAAGGGGAGAAGAAAACCATCACTAAAGCTGTTCAAGGATAGAAGACGAAGAATGAACATGGAATCAGGCCCAAAGGCAGGCGTTATAGCGGAAGATATCAAAAACAAACTCCCGATCATACCATGACCGCGCCAGAGATATTCCATTAAAAGATATTATTAATATGAAAAAAAAAGGATTTAAGCCCAAGAAATGGAAAAGAGCTCATGTATACATTGCGGATATACTCAGGTCGTTTCACACAGGCAATTTCATGACTTATAGAAGAACAGCAAAGCCGGCAAGGAAACCGGTTGCCAAGACAGCCATTCCGTACATCTGGCCGACGTTCAGGAGAGCCTGCGGTCCTGCCATTCCCTTCTTTGGCTGGTCAGTAGGAGAAGCAGACCCGTCACCAAATCCAGTGTAGACAGCACCGCTCGTAGCAGAGCTGCTGGCAGTCTGGGTGGCCGACATGGTAGGCTTAGCGGTGGCGGTAGAGTTTGGTGGTGTAGGGTTCTGAGCACCGCAAGGGTGGTCTTCGCGGCAGGCAGACTGGCAAGCGTGGTCGCCATTGCAGTTCTCAACACACTTGTTGTTGGATTCTGTGCAGATAAAGTACGGGATGGTCTGAGAGTATTCGGTTGCGTTGGGCGTCTTGCCGTTGCTGCAGGTGCAGTCGAAAACGAGAGTGTCCTAATTATGTGGGTTAGCCGATTTTGTGTATTCATCTCCGGAGACAAAGCGAGGAGAACATACAGGATCACAGTCGTTCGCTGCTGGAACCTCCGAGGTCCCTGGGAGCTGGAGGCAGATCAGAGGACACGAGGTTTGCTGAGCCAAACACCATTGTTCTATGCAGCAAAAGTTCGTCGTTAGTCTCATAGCATCATAAACACGTCGATAAAACAGATTACTCACGTCTAGTAGCTTCAGCAACATCATCTGGGTTAACGACCTGTGCAGAGGCCAGACGAGCAACAGCAACGGCTGCGAGAAGAGCTTGTGGGAAAAACATGGCGACTGTAAATAGTACTGGATAGTTAGCAAAAGAACATGGCCCTAAATATCTCCGCTGGCAGAAAAATATATGATATGAGATTCCACAGTCGAGGAACCGGGTGGTTGTGAAAGCTGTCGACGGGATACATGCGTAACAACCCTCGTGGACGTACCTTAGGTATGACAGATATGGCAGAAAGTACCAGGCAGATAAGTGTCCACACGTGTGAGAAAAGAAACTATCCAACAGAGCGAGAGACTGGGGCAAAGAAAAACAGAACTGATGGCGACTAAAGAGCGAGAGATGGAGAAGATGGAGAAGATAAGAAGCAGACTGAAAGAAAGAAGAAAAAAAGGGGACGAGACAAAGCGAGAAGTTCTTCCTCCTCGTTCTTCGACCCCCTTGCTCTCCCGCCTAATAAAGGTAATTGAGACAAACAAATATTAAAAATCGAGCTTAGCTGTGATTGGACAGCCGCGTGACCAGAGGATCGGCTATGCTAGGTCTTATTGGGACTAGCGTATCCACTTTTCGGCAAGCTTAACGCCAAGCTAAACTAGTCCCCTTTTGGATGGAGCTTATGTCAGCTTCGAGGCTGTTTGTTTTTATTTTTAGATAAGCTTAAAAGCTTAACAAAAGGCGCTTGAAGCTGAAGATGAAGGCGACGGAGGTGATGGAGGCGTTGCAGTTTGATATCCAGCAGAAGGAGGTAGGAAAAGGCCGCTTTTAGTGGTGAAATGGTCAAAGCCAAGGTGGTGTCGAACTTCTCGAGATCAGACGTGGATCTGCAAGGTTTTGGGGACCAACTAGCGACCAGCCGAGGTGGCACCAGGCCTTGGCTGCGTCGCTCTTCACGCAGTTCTCCAGAAAAAAAACGTCAACACAACCAACCTCTCCCCAATCTGATAACCTTCATCAGAACTCCCTGTTGCCGTCCCCTACCCTCGCTTCATCAGCGAAATTATTAGTATTCCTTTTTAGGTATGTTCAATTATTGATATAACCTCTACCCCCGCACCCCATGGGCAGTGGATGGACTTGTATCCCTCCCTATCCTGAAGCTTCCCGGTCTTGTCTCACCCCATGCAATCTCTCCATGTGTGAACTTGAGACACGCATCGATCAAGTCACACGGTGCACCCTCCACGTCAGTACCAACCTTCGCTAAGCCTGTTGTCTCATGTATAGTTAGGTTAGTTGTTGTGCCCGGAGTACTCTTCCGAAAGCCGGCCTTTCCCGCATACCTGCAAACAGTGCTCTGCCACCCTCCAACACTTTCGCTCTCGCTCGAGAAAAGCTAGTTCGTCTAACGCAATATATATCCTCGAACAAGCAGGACTCTAGTACTCTGATGGATGGAGCCGGCCGGATCGCCTCGCGCGCAGAACGCGATGCTTCCCCAGCTACGCCATGTGGACTCCTTAGGCGCTGAAACAGCGCCTATCCCCTCAGCTCCCCGCGCGGGAACGCCGCAGTCAAACCCGCGAACTGCTACCCCGCCCTATTGGAGACACTCGCGCAATATCTCGCATGCATCCCACACCTCCTTAGACCGGTCCAGTGGCCTGATAACGCTAGAGGATCATAGCGAGGATCCCTCATGCGATACAAGCAAGGGCCTTTGGGCGAAAAACGTAACTATTGATGACTATGCTATTGTCAAGGGACAGTCCGGAATCGGGGCATATGTTGTGTGGATATGTAACATCCAGACTCTCGAGGTGTGTTCCCCCGGCCTTTCTCCCGTGAAAGCGCTGTACACATCGGTACTGATGTCCAGGTGTCTAGGGAGCATCTATGGTAGTTCGAATGAGGTTTGTTGCTACCCGCAACTTTAACTATGCTTATGGCCCAGAATTGACCCATGCTCCATTAATACAGGTACTCCCAATTCGTAGACCTTCGATGCAAGCTTGCGGAGGCATATCCCTACTGCAAAAAGTCGTTGCCAGCTTTACCACCCAAGAGTGCACTCTGTATGTTCTATGTTCTACCGACATAAGACACTCATCCCGGCCCTTAGCGTTAATGCATTATCTAGTTAAATTCAACGCAAAGTTCCTCGAAGCAAGGCGACAGGGTCTTGCTTATTTTTTAAAGTGAGTACAAGTCAATGCTCTCATCTATAATACTTTTTCTAACATATATTAGCTGCGTTTTACTGAACCCAGAGTTCTCTGGTTCTCCTATTCTTAAGAATACCCTTTTCACCCATTCTGCCTAAGTTTAATAGCTCCTGGTCTCAACATTAATTAGACAAGTTGCGGTTAATAACACCAAACAGGATTTGGTAGAGATTTGGAGTATTTTGCCACTGTGTTATTCTGGATATATCTTTTAAGCTGTGATAACACTTTTTTAATATACTAGCATTAGCACAACTGTCGTTCTCGGTCATTGTCTACGTGGCATAAGAGCCCAGGGATTCCCCAGTAGTTTAAATCAGCCCCCAGTGGCGAGCTTTGGCTAGAGGGCCCAAGGTTAGCTATCTTTTGCGGAGAACCCTAGAGTCCTATAATTCTGACAACGTTTACTCCCTGTATCATTAGCCGCGGTGAAGATAAACCCCTGCCGTGTACTGAGTGAAGCTAACTGCATATCATCACCTAGAATTTACCTACGGAAATAAAATAGACGAAGAAAAGCATCAATAAAATCCGGTCTTTGACGCTGCTCGCTACTTCTTTGATATCATGCTTCACTTTATCGCTTAGTAAGTAATATATGTTGTATAAATACACAAAGACACACCGAAGTTGAGATACATGAGTAATAAAAATGGTAATCCGATAACATACCCAACTCGAGTGTAGCATCCACGACTTCAAGATAACCATAAAAAGAGGCGACGGCGAGGTCAGTTTTCGCAGCCAAAAAGCTGCCAGGACGCGGATACATAGGCTCTGCGCTGAGTACCATCAAGAGTGTGCTAGACCTCAAGGGAACAGTGAAGGGATAGCTGCCAGGGAGCTTGTCCTCCTACCTTCATCTGTGCCGTCATGGTGTTTGTTGTCTAGCTAGAGATTTTTGCCCCCTTAACCACCAACCAGATGATGACTCGCACCGTGACATCTCCGCCGTCGTGCAGTACGCGAACCAGAACACAGCGCCAGCATCCTCAGCAACACCAGCAACACCAGCAGCAACACGACCAGACGCCGCCAATATTCACCGAACCGCCACCGTCGACCTCTGCCTCCGCGGTACCTGCTCCGCACCAGCAACACACCCATGCAAACACACACCAGTTCATCTACACCCACAACGAACCGCCGCCAAAACGAACAAAGCTACACCATTCCCCGCCCCAGGTGTCGGGGCAGCTCCCCTTACGCGCCAGAGATGCTCTGGGTCAGCCCAACGTCGTTGCACGGCCTCACTCTCTCCCCCAGCGGCACATACAGACTCAATTGGTGACTATCAGAAGTCCCAGAAACGGCGATGACAGTCTCGGGAAACGCGAAGGTGTCTGTCTGTCGTTCGCCAAACCAGATGCTACAGCCAATTCAGGCATTAGGACCAGTGACTCGGTGTTAGTCCGTCCAATAAGGAACGCGTTGAGACACTCTCGATCCATACAGGTGGATGAAGGAGATATGCCCCTTGTTCAGGGAGCTCCGAGTGGCAGAGGAGATGCTGATATGCATGGTGTTGAAGCTACTAAGAATGATGTTCATCTGAAACCACCACAGGAACCCAGTGCCAGCACCCCTGCTGGAGGGGAGAAGAGGTCTCTACGGTCTCATGATGGAGGTACCAGGCCATCAAAGAGTGAACTGGCCATGTATTTCCCCAATTATGAACAGATCCTTAGCTTGGAGCCAACAAAACAAGGTGGGTAATAAAGCGGCTCATTATCTTCGGCTACGTGCATACAAGCTAACGCGTCGACTACTAGAGTTCCTCTGTGCTGAGACTACAATTACCCTGGTTGATGACCTCACTGAACCGTTAACACCAGATCGTGACGGACTAGGATCATCGTCACTCCCCCAGAACCCCCTTGAGAACCTTCACAACGCAGAAGTCGTTGAACTTGGGTCATTCGAAGGAGCTGGTGACAAGGATCCATTAGATGAAGATGCCTTTTTCAAAGCACACAGGAGGCTTGAAAGGCAAGAGAAGCAGCTGCGCAACCTTGAAAAGGAGCGAGCTCAATATGAAAAGACCCAGCTCGACCACTTGCTAGGCGAGCTGCAGGGCCATGACTGGCTCCGGGTTATGGGAATCAACGGAGTCACCGACACTGAAAAGAAGTTGTACGAGCCTAAACGAGACTATTTCGTAGGAGAAGTCAATTCTTTGCTTGAAAAGTTCCGAGCCTGGAAAGAAGAGGAAAAGCGAAGGAGAATCGAACGGGAACAGGCACTGCAGGCGGAAGAAGACGAGCAGTCAGACTCCCAGGAAGAAAACGAAGATGAAGATGACGAAGAAGGCGAGGAAGATGAGGAAGATGAGGAAGATGAAGAGGAGAATGAGAATGAAGATGGTGACGATGGTAACGATGGTGAAAGCGGTGTCGCTGAGGAAAGCTCTGAACGGGCATCAACCACGGCACTTGGTAGTGTCCCAGACCCAGACGACGTTGACCGCCTAGCTGCACACCAGCTCTACCAGGAGGTTATATCAGCGACCAAAAACAAGAAACTAAAGATTCGGAAGAGCAACCAAACCTCTGAGCCAATCCAGCAGCCCAAAACACCCCCTCAGCAGCATTCACCAGGAAGCAAGGGCGTTGACACTTCAAAGCCTGCAGCACCATACATCGAACCTGATCCATGGCCCGCAGGTCCCTTCCTGTCCTTCTTTTCCAAACCCCATCTTCGAGACGCAGCTGTCAAAAAGCACAAGCGAGGTCGAACGCGGATGGCATTTGGGAAACCACTGCCGGAGCTCGTAGAGACCTCGTTCCGACTACCAGATGATATCCTAACCCCAGAGGCCATCAGGGCAGCTCAGAGGAGGAACAGACGGATGAGGCGAGAGGATGGGAAACCAGGAAGCCGGTGACATAGTTTTCTTTTTAATCGTTTTCCGTCCTCTGTATGTATGTATATATGTATATCAAAGGTGTGTATTTCAATGTATGCCTTACGAGCTCGCTAGCTGCAGTTAATACTTATCCCAAGGGTATAAGTACGGAGTATTATTGGTTGAAATATTTTCTCTTATATTTCTATTCTATTCATGTTCATTTATTGGCTAAGATAACTTAGAATCTATGCCCGTTGCCATGTCAGGTATGCCATGGTAGAAGTCACACTTTTTATTCTTACGCCCATAGCTTGTCACTATCCTTCTCGTCCGTATCGAAGGGGATTCCTTCGCCTACAACTGTTGTCCTTTATTAGATATAAAACAGTAAAAAGAGTAGTGTGTAAAACACTTACCTCGTGGCCCATACTTCTGTGCCATTGCTGGGATTTCCTCCCGGGTACTATTCTCCACGAATTTCATAAATCGAGCCACACGTTCTTCCGGGCTTTCATGCTGCGCCTGGGGAACGGTAGGAGAAGACTTGTTTGAGGCATTTTTGGGTTTTACAAGAGGCGCAGAATCAGTCGATGATACACTTGTAATGTCTGTTAAAGCCGGAGAGTTGGCTGTTGATATACTGGAATAATCGTCTCTTATTTTAACATCCGCGGCCTGTGCTGAAGGAGGGCCCATAGTAGACGTTACCCGGTCGTGGCGGGACCTTTTTCTATAGCCGCAACAAAGGGTTTTGATATGTTGCTCGGATGTTCGATAAACTAGGGGTAAGTTAATGAATGCTGTGATTGACTGACTTCCCCAAGGCATCCTTTGGTAATGAGTGCGAATCGTAGCTAAAGTGGAGTATTCCAATCTATGGGCTTTGCTCGTCTCTACAGTTTATTAGTTCGTGGTCACATTCAGCCTCGCCGGGGAAGGTTTTTATAGTACCCACGAACATGAAATCCTAAAGCTAAAGTGAACAACAGGAGTGAAGGAAGTGGATGACGAATCTAACATTTTAACGACCTAGGTAGTCACATCATTGACTACCTAAAGTGCGTAGGTAAGTACCTAATAGTTAATGATCTAACCACTCCGCAGTGACTCTATAAAACGGTATATTCAGCGATTCAAAGAGCCTTCAACCGTGTATTTACATTTACCATCTTTCTCCGATTACACACAGTTATCTATTGTAGGCTATGTGATTAGGCCTTTTTGTCCCTTGTGGTCCAACACCTTACAAAACTGGAGCTAATGAAAGCATGCAATATCAATACTGTCGACACACTCAAGGTAGTTATTGCTGCGTGGGCAGACGTTTCTTCCGGCGTGGCAAGAATTGAATACCAACCATTTTGTTCCGGCCACTTGGCCTACTTCAAGCAGTGGATGACTTCTGCCGGAAAACCTATCCCTGAATCGTTCCTTTGGCATGTCTTTCGTCAACTCATCCGTGCTCTCAGCTACATGCACACTGGACTCCGCAACGATAGAGAGATAGTCAACGACAACGTGCCAGACAAGAGAGGTTGGAACCCAATCCTGCACCGTAAACATCAAACTTGAAAACATCTTTCATCAAATCCTTGGACATCGCTGGAGAATACCCCCTCATCAGACTAGGTGACTTTGGACTGAGTGTCTCCAAGAAAGACCTGAAGCTCCCTTACGCTCCCTACTGCACTTGAAGGAATGGATGGCGCCTGAATTCCTAACTGTAGCCCACGGAAGTGACGGTTTTCGCTGCGTATTACCATCATACAGTGTCTGTCCATGGTTTCCTTGGACCGAGGCAAATCCCCCACGGGAGGAGTCGAATGAATGCCAGTAGGGACATGCTGGCAGAGAATGGCGGCCTTGACCGGGATGACT